ACCAAATTAAACGTTGTGTAATAGTCTGGCTAAGCACGACACGGTCAGCGGGCACATCTTCACGTTTTGGCGTTTGATGTACATACTTAAAACCATTTATTATGATGTCCTGTTAAATCTGGGATTGACTCCGGGATATATCGAAATAGTGCAGCTATGTATACAATTTACCATAGAGACAATTCTGATGCATCAATAATGTCCAGTCGAAACACATGAATTTTTTCAAAGCGCCTGGATAATCAAGATACCTTTACTAATTCTTTCGCATTTTATGAACAAGTTTTTATGTATAACCCAGATTATAAAGTCAATATTTTTTTTCAAAAGTGATGGGCCGAATTTGGTGTTAAGTTTACATTGATTAATTATTTGGCGACAATTAGTATGAAAGAGGTTAAGGAGACCATGTCCCTAAATTGTATTGCTATTTCACTGTAGAGCCCGAAAACCAGAATGAACAACTTCTTCAAAAAGTCGTCAAACCTCTTTAAGTAAAATGAACAACTTAAAAAAAGTCGCCGAACCTCTTTAAGTAAAATATTTATGTCTCTATTCATATCACAAACGAATCTTAGATTTAGAATATATGATTAATCATGTCATTATTATTATAACGAGATGGAAATCAGATAATCATTTGATAATGGTGGACAATTTGCCTGCTAATAACATTACAAATCCCACTACGACAGTTAGTGTAAAGCATGTAGATGTCGTTAAAATCAGAACAGAATACGATAGCTCTAGCTGCTGAAGGCGAGTCATTGGACAAATGTATGACAATGTAACAAATCGGCCATTAGAGAATTGACTAGCGACTAGCTTATCTCTAATCATAATAAGTGGTGATATATTATTCGGCATGTGGTAAGATTATTCAGAAAATGATAAGTTATCATGGAATAGGTCCCAAAACAAGCACTCGAAATGTGTTTGGTTATCGTTTGCTTTGGTGAATTGTTGTTATTTTCACTTCATTACGATCCCCAGTTATGGAAGGTATGGAAACGGTAGCCAAAACAGTTTTCAGGAAATTTACCTTCTTTTAATTAGAGAATTCGCCTCTCAATTTATAATTAAGTGGCCTGATAAATGCGACTATTTCATAGTGTTTGTAAAAAAAACCGCGGCAATAATCTGAAAAAAGATATCACTGCGCGTGTGTATTCAGTCACTATCGTAAAAGAAACCACGTCTCTAACTACACCTGACAACTGGATGTTCGCACCATTATTTCGTACAGAGGTTTAGATAGTTGCTCGAGACTACAATAAAATGTTCTAAGAGATTTCCACGCGGAATTAATCCGTTTTATTTGCTAAAATATGAGATTTCTCCTATGGTTAAAGGCTGATTAATGACGACTACAAATTAGTCCCGCTTGCATTGACGCATTGCTACTTTAAGATTAAACGTAATTGATGCTTGGTGTTACAAATGTCAGGAAAATGTTGGTATCTAAGAATGTGTTTAGTATCTGTTCGGTCATTACAAATGAATAAATCTATTACTGAATCCTTTACGCCAGTCAATTTATGAAAAAAAAAGTTGTTTTCTGGTAGTGTCTGGTGTACTCAATGACATCCTTAAAGTTTACAAAAATGGGAGTACCGGAAAGTTCCGAATTTTGAGGGTAAATTCCAGGTTTTGATGTTTTCTGATAGTGTAGGGTGTACCTTTCATTAGAGTGCCATTTAAAACTAAACTAACAAAGTGGAAACCCCTTTTGATAATTACATGACAATGTTGATGTCAGTCATTATTACATATGTGATAGAACTGGTTAAACACATTCCAAATATAATTTTCACGCAGAGATAATTGTTACGGTAGACGCGAAACGAAGATTTGATGAAACGGAAAGTGACGCAAAAAAATGGAAAACACGAGTTATCCTTCTATATAACTGACTGAAGTAACGAGTGATAACAGACACGGTCGATTTTCAGCTCACTAATAATTCCTTTGAAGACGAAAAGTTCTTATAGGAGACTGTGAGAGGACATCTGGCAATTCATAAAAAGAACTGACTGTCGCTAGATAAGAGAAAGCGAGACAAATTGAAAATGTCCGTGCAATCCCTTGCTTTTATTCATTCTCTACGTAATAAAAACAAAGAATGTGTTTAACCAGTTCTATCATATATGTAATAATGGTTGACACTAACATTGTCCTTCTGGATAAGTTTGGGGAGGGGGGGGGGGGTATTAAACACTGACAGTATACATGTAGATCTAAAAGTGGAAGTCAATATATAAGTTGGTCCCTGATCACAGTTTAACATGTGTTTCCTTGTTTTCTTTTGATGGTGATTTACAGCAAATAGGTTCTTGTTTGGCCCCATAGAATTGTACTGTGTCCGTTGTTAATGATATGTTGTTCCTCTACGGCCGAAGTATTGTGAACTTTAAATGGCTGTAACTTAATCATTGAGATTGCTCGATTTTAATAATTTTTGGACCAATATGACTTTCGATGAGACCACTTTTTATTGTGCATGGTCTATATCTGCTGTTGATTCTAGAATAGTTTGTCTTTAACCTTTCTTACTCTGTAATCCGCTAGCCACATGTAGAAATTAATGACTTCCTGAGTTGATAAAAAATGACAACCTTTCTGTGGAGATTTGCACCATAGTGTGAGCTCATCGTTATGTCATCCAATACACAGCTTGAATTGCCTCTATTGTAGAAAAGCAGATTATGCACATCTCTATTTTTTTTTATCTTACTGCTAAAAACCTGTGTAGAGGCGGTAATGGGCATTTTCAGACAATATGATCACTCAAAATTTCATGATAAGCGTGGCTAAAATCACTCTAAATCTTAGGTCATAAGGTTTGTCTGTGAATCAAGTAACTCGGTTTCGATCCCCTCTCCCATATGCCATATACACGAATCTAAAACTTTAATTCCAATTGGAAATCCCAATGGGCAGAGAAGAGAGAGAGACGGGTGTTAATGTCCACTCAATGCAAGCTATATTATGAAGGGGGGGGGGGGTACCGGAGGACCCAGAGAAACCCCTGCCGATTGTCACGTACAAGTATTTGACCGAGACCTTAAGATCTAAAGTGCACCCATTAGACCATTCGGACGGCGGAATTACGGGCCAAATTGTACGATATTAGCTACAGTCGGTGATAAGGTTAAGTTGCCATTTTAAGTACAGAAAAATGAATAAATCATTATTTTGACTTTAAATAAATAATCCTTCCACAAATATCTCATATAATCAGCAGTGATATCTAAGAGCGCTTATTGGATTCTCGGCATGAATGACGTCTATCTTAGATGTCACAGAAGCTTGGACACAATGTTTGACACTGTGGCGTAAACGAGTTAACATTTAAATCCCAACCAGAACGTCCGGGATTGAATCCCAGCGTGGGCTAAAGAGAACATGGCGATTTTTCAGCCCAGTGTTCATTTAAGGAGGGTTTGTGTGCATGGAACATGTGTCTAGCCGTTTATTGTAACACGTAAACCATATATTTTATAATCATGTCAGACCAGTTTTTAAAGACCCCCTTTAAACGAAACCATAATAAAAAACAGTTTAGACATCAAATGGCGACGTACCGACTTTTCTCCATGAAATATCAAATCACCGAGCCAAAGTTTGTTTTCATAAATCTAAACTGACCATCGACTAGCAGTTGAATTTACCATCGTTTATCAATCAATGGAAGTTCGAGTAGTTTTTCATTTTATCTTGTTCAATATTCCATAATTTATATACTAAAATTCTTGATGAGTAAAAAGGGAAAACGCAATAAAGATTATATATAGTGTTATTATGGATAATTTCATAATCTTCCATTGCTATTAGTTTTATTCGGTTATTTCATATTTTGAAACGGCGTCCCGGCGATAATGATAACAGCTTTATTTCCATTCTACACATACAAGATTTAATGAGATATTATGTTGGCCTCGCCCATTTTTATTCGTCGGTTACTTTCTACTCTACCACACTTGCCAACACTTGCTTTCGTTTCGGCTACTTCGTATATTGAACCTGAAAATTGATGTCCACACTGTTCATGGTAACTGATCATCATGGCGGGAACTGCTGTCCAAATCCACCAGTTAACAATACACTTCGTTAGAATGGAATGGAGGTTTTATATCTCGTCAACACATATTTAGGTCATTTTGTTAGTTTTTATTCTTATGGCTAGTTGTGCAATGCGTAATACGACGTACGTAAATATTTTCATGGCATTTGACACCGTATACACATTTACCGCTATTTTTTCAAGATCAATATTCGAAACAAGAGACAATTTGAGCTGGAGCAATCGAGACTGTCCAGAGGTTCGAGTGTTGGGAATAGTTTTAAAGCCTTTATTGGGCTGATTTATTAATTGCATAGTTTATTTTGTTAAATATATTTCTTCAAATAGCCCTACCTCTAACGATGACTGATCTCAATTCGATTATTCGCGGAGTTATGCCGCTTTGACAGAAACCTAGTCATCACTCTGCAATTTTTGAGATATAAGAAATTTCCAGGTCAAAGTGTTATCATTTAAACATTTAATGAAATTCTTTTAAGAACTTTAAAACATACAAATATTGGGAAAAAGTAATCAACCGTAAGGACAGCATGGTTGAAGGTATGGGACATGTTTCGTTACTAGGTATGGGGGTGGCGTGGCCGAATTGTTAGCGCTTGCGCGTTGTATTATAAGGTCTGTCATTGAGTCAACTGGCGTGGTTTCCATTCCAGGGTTGTACGTGACAAATGTCGCCTGTCATACCTCGTGAGTTTTTTCCGTGTCCTCAGGGTTCCTTCTACTACTAAAGACCCCTACGCGCTAGCGAACTGAAAAAAATTAAACCATATGGTAGTCCCAAAATGACCTAGTTTGTGTCCAGTGGTCGTTAAACCCCATTTCTCTCTCGTTACGGACAGCCTATCTTTGTTTTGAGTTTGATGTAATAGTTACTTTATATGCGTATTAAATCCCTTTGTTTGTTTATATTTTACAGTGGAGAGTATATGTTACACATGTGGTTATACGACACTAGATAAAAATTGTGTTGATACATTTATACCTAGAGATGGCCGGGAATCGACGGCATGTACACTTAGTAGAGATTCAAGTAAGTATAATTGATTATCTATGAAATCTGCTTTGGCCCAGTTGGTTAGTTATTCGTAGTCTAATTAAATTTATAGCAATATTTCGTTTCGTTGTAATTTTCAATTGTTTGCTCTTGGTCTAAAGGTCTTTCTTTATAAGAGGTGCTTAGTAATGCCCAGTTTGTGATTGGTAGACTCCAAGTTAACCTACCTATCAAAACCCAGCTTAAACAAAATTTAAAAATATTCATTGTAAACCAGATAATGACAATATCTCAACCTGATTTCGTCTTTACGGATGTGTACGATAGCACCTAGATACGAATTTAATTCAATTTCCCCCTTGCGGAAGTGTACGACAGCACCCGAGTTATACTGGAGCTTATGTCAAAAATGATAGATATCTAGCTCTTCAGACGGGTGACAAACCAGGATTAATTAGAAAGCAATTGCATTATATAAATCACGCGAAGTACGAGAAACATAGTCCGTCGAGAACAACGTGAAACAGCCGTATGGAAAATTGTCCGAAGATTGTCGAAGATTGCTAAAGATCGTCTGTCAAGAGTGATAAATGGACACGTCCAGATTATTCTCCTAGTTATCTATCAAATTTGACACTCGGGTGCCCAAAAATAATCATGTATGTTCGTTTAATAGGAAAATGATACTGCGATTAGATAAAGAGTGATTATTCCAAAGTTCTTCGAAGAATGCAGAAAGCCTTGAAACTTAAAGGAATCGGGTTTTTATTATTTAGGACAAAAATTATATGCTGAATCATATGGATACAATGTGTTGTTTCTGTTAGAGCTGAACAAGTTTTTATGTATTTTACAGCCCGATATCCAACTGGTCGGTAGTACCATCGTGACACGTTAAAGTTTCTCTATAATAGTTGAAAATCGAAATAAGAGTAGGCGGTAGTGTCGCTTCATTATCCCGGTTGGTGTATAAATGAAATGGGGTTTAACGTCCTACTGCTCTGCTCCTATACTGGGGTAATGAAGACGGGCATACGCCATACAGTGTGCTATGAGGGGATTTTTGCCCCTGCAGCGGCACTACGGCCTACTCTTATATCGAATTCCAACTACCAGGGGATCTTTTACGTGCATTCCAATTTATACACGGGACCTCGGTTTTTCGTCTCATCCGAAGGACTAGAAAGCTGTCCTTGTCAGGCCCTCCGTTCTGCATCACTGACAATGGGGAACCACGCCGGAAAATCGGGATGAACTTTCTCGGCCAATGCAGGGATCGAACACCCAACTTCCAGGCTAGCAAGCCAGCGTCTTACCCACTTAGCCACGTGATCCCGGGTTGGTGTATAAAAGTAAGATAAACAGACGTTCATTAACCGTATTTAGATCAATCCAGAATGTTTGAGGTTGGTTTGTTTTACAGGTCGGCAACTACATCTTGATAGCGTATCTTTAATATTATAAAACCATTAAATGAATAAAGATGTCATTTATAACCAAGGGATGTCATGTTTAGTGTCATATTTATATAGAATTATCTGTAGAAACACACTCACAGCTGTCTGGGTTAAACCTTCAATTCTGTGATAAACTGATCCCCAAGACAACCTGGTGTATATAAAGAGTTTAACGTCTCGTCAACACAATCCTTTGGTTCAGGGTCAGAAGAAAATCCACCCGACATACAATATTTGGGGTTAATTTTAAGATTATATGATAAGGCTTACCATAAAAATTTCATTCATCAACAATGGAAGTATGGCCATGTTGCTGTCTAGTCCTTCGGATGATACGAAAAACCGAGGCCCCGTGTATATAATGGAATGCACGTAAAAGATCCTCTGGCAGTTGGAATTCGATATAAGAGTAGGCGATAGTGCCGCTGCCCGGTCAAAATTTCCCTCATAGCACACTGTATGGCGTATGCCCGTCTTCATTAGCCCAGTATAGGAGCAGAACAGTAGGACGTTAAACCCCATTTCATTTCATTTCATTTATATAAACTGCTGAAAAAAATGATCGGCTCCCATTCTCAAGGGAGTTAACTCTTAGTGACAAAACGAGTTATGGTTCTTGGTTACATTCAAGTTTGAAACTTTGCTCTGGAACGGCTAAATCAATTTGTTAAGGCCGGCTCAATTTTTGTCAAGGTCGTTGAGATGTAAATAAGGTTAGGGCACATGATTGTTGGCGAGATGGTAGGTAAGGGTTAAGGTAAGCGATAGCCCTGTTAGCATCTCGTAACGTATGACGAAAAACTGAGCTGGCCTTATCATTTAGCACTAACCCTCTTGAACGCATAATTAATTCGGAATTCTTCGGTTTTTATCATACGTCCATATAACGACAAATTTAAAGCTTGTACGCATGCACAGTCCTTAGTTTTTGAACACAAGAGACAGAGATAGTGAAATGAAAGTAAACAACTCCAAATATCAGTTACATTTATCAGTTACATTTTCAGCTGATTGTTATAAATGCAATAATTATCACAGTCGAATGTAAAAAAATACACATCCAAAACAGAGCACACGTCACACGCCCTAAAAAGATTAGAATTCGAGTGCTGTGACCTGTTGGGGGGGGGGGCGAATGGTTAGCACGTGCGCGCTGTATCATAAGGTCTGTCATTGAGTCAAGTAGCGTGGTTTCGATTCCCCAGTTGTACGTGATAAGGGTCTTTGTATGTACAGGACAATGTGTACACAGATGGATCTGAGTTTTCTATATCATCCGGGCGACTAGGCAACACTTTACTTGCCAGCCCCGCGAGCGCCATCCCTGACAAGTGGGAACCGGGCTTGTAAAACCCCGAGGGTTTGATCTCGGGACATTCTAGTTGAAAGTCTAGTGCCCTTACTGTTCGACTACTGGTCTTCGAACGAATTGTTAGTGAGCAGAAATTCGCTCGTGTAACTGTTATCGGTCGTCACTTCAGTCAGTTATATAGAAGGATAACTCATGTTTTCCTTTTGTATTCGTCACTTCCTTTTGTAGAAACCTCCATTACTCATCTACCGTAGCAACCAGTTCTATCACACAATTATGTGATAATAACTGACACCAATATTGTCCTTTAACTGTGCTACGAAAACCAATATATTGAGACTGTATGCTCCTTGAGTTGAGGGGACAATTTGTTTCGAAAATTTAGACACAATTATGTTTTAGAATATTGTGTTCACGTTGGATATAACATTTCAGAAATGGTCTGTCTTTTTTTCTTCCGGTTCAACTTTGCAAAAAACACACACGATCACGAATATTGTAAGTTGTAATTCTCAAATTATTATTTTCTCTTTATTTTAGAATATAAATTATGCAGAAAATATAGAGATGGTTGGACAATCATGTGTAAAAGATCCGGGAGTGTTTTAATGTGTAAAGAGCCGTGCTACACCGGTCAAGCATCATCAACCAATCACAGCCTTTCTCTCATCTTAGTCGTGGCCTTCGCCCATATATTTTCTGCTGCATGGAGACATGTTTCTTGACTCTAGTGATTGGTTTATAACAGATGTGATTTTAATATTAAAATTTTATAATGCGTACAATTGATTGGATTTGCTTTGGCTTTGATCACGTGTTGGGGTGTGTTAAGAAAATGTTTTGTTGAAATTGAATTTTTTTTGTGTTTAAAGGGAGATAATTATCAGACTATTTAACTTGCAATCGTGTAGAAAGCAAGGACGGAAATATTAACAAAACCATATTTCCAAGGACATGCTACAATGGGAATACAAATCAATAATAATTTATTTATTATCTATGGCGTAAAGATCAATGAAACTATTACTTTAGTTAAGAATCGAATAACATACTGAATATAACTTAAAGGAGAAGTCCTAGATTTCAGAGGGTTTCCGACAAAAAGTTTGTTTACGTATGTCAAAATGTAATGAAAGTGACAGTTCAAAATGATCGACAAAAATGTTTAAAGATGTTAGTAACTTTGCCATAACCTATCAACAGCCTGTTAATTCCATTACTCGCAGGAAAACGGCAAAACGGGAGTTTTGCCACAAGCTGTCACTCCATGCGCCATAGACAATGGTATCCAGGCACAAGGTGATTGCTTGTAGGAAGCTCATCTCATCTCCACCTGACTATTTCTTTTAAAATGTATCTACTTTCGACTAGATTAAAGGTTCAATTAAGAAATATTCAGATTTATTCACTGAATTATAGCTTGGGCTTCTCCTTTAAAGATTGAAAACTAAATATTTATCTTCTAGGGCAGTGTATGCTACACACGTGTCGAGTGTTTGAATTTTAATGTGAAAACATATGAAACTCAGTAAGAGGTTAAATGAATCGGCTAGAATTTGGTACGCACGAATATGTCCAATATGATTTTCAGTCAAATGTCCTTAATTGATGGTTCCTCTTGATATTGATATCTCAAACCTTTGTTTATACCAGCGTAGAGAAAAGGTCATGGTGAATGTAATCTTATAGATTGAGAAAGAATAGATAAGACAAAGAAAGTCCTTTATTAATTCGCACTGATTACAACCCTCCACTCCTTTCACAATTGCAGATCGGATCAATTTGGCTATTCGAACATTAACATTGAAGATATACACGTATCTGTAATGTTTAATGAACTATGTCACATTCAAGGACAGTTCGGTTTTAGTGTATTGTATATAATATATCATGTACATTGACGTAGTGACTGTCTGTTTGGATGTGAACACGGGGAGACTATGGGACGCCAAACCAACACATTTATATCCATATAATGAAAGCTGTTCTGGTCCCTAATTAATTTGAATATTATTTTGATTTGGCTTTCCATAATCTTAGACAGCGAAACCAGATCACTCCAAAACAGCCAGCTTGTCAGTAACTTTGAACATTTCTTTGTTTCTTTGGAGGCCATGTCGGAACGTCAACATTTACAGGATCTATACCTAAATGTATAATTTCTGGCTCTGATTGCTTGAATAGAATGATAATCTCTTGCGTTCTATATTGTTCTACCATCATGTGTATACCTTCGAAACGAACGGCTACTGGAACAGGCTTAAGGTCTGCGCACACGAAGGGTAATCTGTTGCCCACAGCTCGACGGAGCCGTTGACTTCTAGCAATGGTTTAACGGCACTGGTACTATGGACAGACAAGACAAAAATGGGGTTTAACGACTATAGTACATTTCAAGGGGAATTTTGTCTGAAAAGGGACTTTTCCGCTTACAGGAATTCATAGTGTATTTAACTTTTTGACGTTTTTATCTCCTTTTTTGTATAACAAACTACAACTTTTCTTGCCTATTTGTGTATTATATATTGTAATTCAATCCGTCACAATAGGGATTGCATAATGTCAAGCGAGTTATTTCCCTTGATTTTATATTTAGGCCTGCCACACGGTACGAACGTAATGCGCATGAATAAAATGGCGGTGTCAAATGACACAACGTTTGGTAAGGTCTGAGTACCGAGAACCGGCGATAGTGTCGCGGGGACATTGTTTTGCCTGTACGCATTGAGAAGCATGACCAAAAATTGATCCAATAGTGAATATTCAGAAGCATATGACTTCCTAATTAACGGTGGTTACACGATGGTTATACGTTGTTGGAGTTCGTGATGGTCGCGTGAGATTCACCGAGGGACTGGTTGGTGGCGCCAGTCATAAATGATACTCAAAGAAAAGGGGCATAACTCCATATATTGCGACAGCTTGTCATTGCATCAGCATTTATAGAACATTGCGTATAATAAGGTTTCACGAACTCTAGGTAATATTTGTAAATAACCAGAAACTTTGGGGTTTCTAACAGATACTTGCAAAAACGCGGTTAACAATTTCTTGTCGACTCCTTTGACCTAAACTAATTAAAATTAGATTATAAAAATAAAACCAGATTGGACGTTTGGCATTATTCAAGGTCGTGTAGTTTCTGCTAACCACCAAAGGAATCCATCAGAGAATATACATGTAGGCATGTCTAGTTCTTTGGGCGAGACAATTCACACCACGCAAAGCAATCTCAAATATGAATAGTAATTTGCTTTCTAAGCTTTAAAAATTGTATAAAACGTGTATGCTTGAATTGCTTAACTTCAAATGCTTGGAATGTTTAACTTTAATGTGTATAATGCTATATTGGCAATTTTAAATTGTTTAATATATATTAAGCTATAGATTGCATGTACATTGAATGTCGAATTGTTTTAAATGTATACTGTACATGTTGATTTTGAATTCAGTTTGTCTATATATAAAATGCATGTAAAATATGAATACTTTAATATTGTTAGTGTCGGTTTGGTGCTTTAGCTATATATGAACTGAATAAGTAAGGGTTGGCTTTTAGTACAATTACAAAAATAATATGAAAACAAAAGAAGTCTAAGTTTTAGAAGTTCCATCGTCCTGTTGATAATACTGAATCAGTATTCATTGGCTCTGTTATTTGTGCTTAAATAATATCAATCATTTAATAATTGTTTTACCATAGCACTGTAATGATATCTTGCTTTTGTAGATATATTGTTAGTTAATTTATAACTGGGTCAGCATATCCTGCTGTTAAACAACTTAAATCCACATTTGAAATCGGGAGTTCAAAACAGAAAAAAAAGTTTTGTGTCACGTTTTAAACAATGTTTATTCCACTACGCACCGTAAACGGTAAATAGTGTCACCTATACATGGGTGAATGCAAATAGACTTGTTTGAAATGAAATAAAATGGACGCTCTATCGCCAACTTAGCTTAACAGCTCAAGAAAGACGAGAGGACCCACGGCAGACACGACTCTAGATTGGCATGCTATCATTTACTACAAGCCCTTCGCTGAAACTACAATGAATTGATAACACCGTTAGAAGTCCCTGCGCCGTATAGATCAGTGCGTTTTTAACAAAATGGCACCATTAAAAGTCCCGAAGCAGTATAGGCCAGTACAATTTGAACAATAGATAAGAAAGGGATTTGTTGACCCAGACTGTGTGTAATCTATATACTAATTATAGATATTTGTATAATTGATTATCTATTGTATGTACATATATATAACTATTATATAAATATTATTTGTATAAATACGCTTTAAAAATTTACACAAAATAAAACATGTTTGTTGCCCTGTATATGGACCTGGAACTGGTTATTTTCTGTGTTTCATGAAAGAGAGAGGAAGTGGGGTTTAGCATCTTACATTTCAGCTTCGATTCGGCTTACTAAAATGAATGAAATGAGGTTTAGCGCCCTGCACCAACTGGGTTAATAAAGACGGGCATACGCCATGCATTGTGTTATGAGGTAAATTTGCCCGGGTAGCGAGCAGCACTATGGTTTACTCTTATATCGTATTCTAACTGCCATGGGTTCTTTTGCGTGCACAGCAATGTGTAAACTAGAATTGTTACAGTTAGGCGCCATTCGAACCATTTACAGGTCTGCCTCGCGGTACTTCTCATTATTTACTTTGCACTGAATCTGGATTTTCCAGCCTTTAAAAAAGTTCTTATGAACATAAAATGGTTTTATTTTTCAAATTATGAATATACAAACACGTTCAATCTTCTTCATTCAAATCTCAAATTAGACAAACATACGGTAAACCTAAATGCAATGACCTCTTCCATTTTGACGACAGGTCGTTTCATATCATTCATTCTAAATTATGCAACTCTAAATATGACCTAAATTATCATAAATACCCCATGCATGTATCTGACGACCCATCCTGTTTATGCGGAAACAAATGTGAATCTAGCGAACATTATTTCTTTCAATGCAGCCTTTTAATAGACCAACGCAGTCTTACCATCGATACACTGGACGACACAAGAATATTAATTCACTCTTGTTTGAGAATTACAATATTTCTAAAAATAAAAATATCTCTGTACTCTCAGTCGTTTACCATTATATAACTCTAGCTAAACGCTTCAAATCTCCGAAATGGAGGTGCTTTTCTTTTTCTGCGAATCACTATTACACGATTTCTTCATATGTTATATGCGAATAATGTTTATTACTAGTTTGATCAATTTCTAACGCTCATTGACCAATCCATATGTAACCCAGCTTCTTTAGGCCTGAAATGTTATCTAAATTATTAATTAGACATTAATTTACTTATCCAGACCATAATCAACTCTTGGTGTCATCGCTTTGCCTGCGATATTTACTGGCTTATAATCCGATCTGCAACTTAACGCTCATTCATGATTAAATACAAAATTAAAACTGGATAATCGAGACTATGTTTTTTTATTGTACAGACTTTAGTAATGATGATCGAGGCTAGGCCCAAAATTCAATCGCTAAATTCTCGGTTCAGAGTTGACCAATTTGACTGACATTTTCAGCAAATTGCCTTTACATTATCTAGTTTTTAACTATTATAGTGAGAACTGCCAGCTCTTTATCTAATCTCCCATAATGTATCTTTAAAGTAGATAAAGTACAAGTACTTCTATGTTAACAGTAGATAAATACAATAAATAAAAAATCCGTCAAGGTAAAATATCAACCACTTTACGTCATTCTGACTAATTATGAATTGATTATCATAAAACGCAAAATTTGCATTTATTCAAAGATACATATCTGCATGCAGGCTGGAAATAATCATTTGGCCTATTTTATCAGATGACAAGAACACATCCTATTTAAAGATTCTCCGAAAGATAGTAAATATGCAATATTAATCTGATAATGTTTTATCAAAATTTATCATCTAATGATGTACTTTGATCACGCGTGACTAGTATATCCATAATTATCTACAGATTGTCGTCCCATTTGTATGTGGATGTCCCTGTGAACAGATTGTTATTTTTTCAACCCCTTTGAAACGATGTCAAAGAAGTAGAGTCTTAAATCTGTTCCTATTACGGGGAATCTAATCCCACTTCAACCAATTTCATTCAGATAGTACACAGATCATATATTTCTGATCATGACTTTCTTGTTATACATAGAACATTTTATCATTACCGTCATTGTTGTTGTGCTTTGCAACATCTTCGTAAACAAGGGTAAGGATGCCTTTTTGAAAGTGATCGTTGGAGTGATAAAGAACCTTCCGGGTATGGACGTTATTATAGAGAATGTGTTACGAAATGAAGCAACAAACTTTATGAAACAAGTCAATCTGGCTCCTAAAAAGGGGGAAGCGAAGAAACCCAGAGTTGTTATTCCAAAAGTCGGTAAGTTTATATCAGGAGAATTATATTATATTACATTATCATTGAATTATGAAAAATAGTTGACACCAACTATACAGATAGTCTTTTTACCCACGGTAACTTTTAATCTACACAGAAATGGGTTGATCCCAAAAACTGATTACTCTGAAGGATTCATATTGCCGCAGAGGTTTCTAAGGAACAGTATTGCTTGTACTGAGATGTTCATTTAAGGTAGATTAGGCGTGACCGACTAGTGGTGACCTTTGACAAAGTCAGAAGTGGGCTTATCCCACAACTCAGAAGGATTCATATTCTCTCGGGCAATCCGAAGGAACAGTTTGATACCCGTTTATGCTTGTACTGGGATGTGCATCTAAGGTAGAATCGGCGAGGCCGACCAATGATGACCTTTGACCTACTCAAAAGTGGGCTAATCCCCTTTATTTTGCCATAGCTAATCTAAAGGAACCTGTTGACACCGGTTTCATGGATGTATTTCCGGTGTGTTTTATGAAACCAATTTTGGCAGTAATATGTGAACCCCCCCCCTCCCTGGTCGTGTCCCCTAATGCATTACTTAAGAGTTGCGATTTTGGGGGTTCCGATAACATATCTACTAATTGTACTCCTCAAACCGATTATACTCGAGATGTTAATTTAATCCAGGACTAAACACTTCAGTTGTAATAATATGACAAATTGTTAACATCCAAACTACCGGATACATGTATCTTACTCTCCCTAAGAGACTATTAAGTATACCCTATGTCATATTTAAATGCTGGATATGCCTGCTTACTCTTTCTTGAACATCTGACATCACTTTTCGTTTATTTCAAGAGTGGTAGCTTTGTATGAATATTACAGGTATACCCCATGATCAGTTAAGAGAGGAATTAAAAGATTTACAAGGTAAAGAGAACCAGATAGAAGATGGTAATATATTCGCCTATATGTACACACTACCTGATGATCACTTCCAGATACAAAAAGAATGTTTTGATAGATTTGAAAGTAAGTATTGCAGTTAAGTCGAGGAAATATTTTCATCGTGGGAAAAAGTAATGCCTAAAATATGTTTTTGGGATGATTGACATACTCATAATTTCAAATGCTACATATACTTAAGCAAGGGGGAGATATTATCTGAACCAGTGATAATATATTCATTTTACTCTCAGTGTCACACACGAAGAGAAATTTCAAAATGTCCAAGTTCGAGCAAATAACTGCAGCGTAGTGTTCAATTATTGATGTTTTGACCAGTGCCACTGTAGTGTTCAATTATTGATGTTTTGACCAGTGCCACTGTAGTGTTTAATTATTGATGTTTTGACCGGTGCCACTGTAGTGTTCAATGTCCGTACATTTGTTATCCACAATGTTCTATTAGTTCTCGGTATAAATCCTACAGGGGTGGTTTGAATGGGTGTACTCAGTACTGTGGATTATTATTCATGTTAGCAATGCTAGTATCGTTGATTCGACCCCGCACTTGTAAGTAACGACAAGGGGTATGGTCGCCTGTCTAACCATGTGCATTTTCTCGTTGTGTTTCCTATCGGCATTAGAATACCTGCCTGGTAATACTCGAAGACAGCCGCTGCAAGGTGTGCCCAATGGAACTCACAATGGCATTCCTGTTAGATTTTTACCACGGTTCCTCGATGAAGATGCGTGCCCTCAAATTACGATCAGCGGCTTTAAATACCATATTACCAGTATTCCGTTTTTTGGATGGAACGTCCACAGAATTCCCAATTATGAATCGTACCGATATTTTTAGATGTATTATCCAGCTCATTGATAGTGATAAAACTCAAGTATTGAGTTGCCATGGATTACGTCAATCTGAGTTATACACGTCAGTAATCACGAGGTTCAGAAAAAAATTATTGTCAAAATCAAATTATTTAAATTGACTCAAGTATCATTTGTCACTACTTTGAAGCAATAGAAATGGTTATTTCTGTGAGAACCGAACATGTGTTGATTTTCAATGATTTTAGAGATTAGTCCGAATAAAATATGAAAATGGAGATAATTATTTTGTTCTGGATACCTTTCATGCCGCACAATAGAAATGACACCAATAATGATTTTGTTTTATAAAATGACTCCGCCATGTATATTTTGATTGTAGAGATTTCTAGAATAAAGTAAATATGAAAATACAGATAATTATGATAAATCTAATCTAGATATCTTTCATATAATATGTCATCCAATTCTGACAATATATGAATTTAACAATTTTCTCTCATTTATTATTTTCAGTATGAGTTTTGTTAATATTTTAATTTAATATGAAAATACAGACAATTCTTTTCTAGAAACAATGTTTTAAAATCCGGTCTGGTCAGTGGCATAGTTTAGCAGTTGGAGGAAATCAGACATCTGCATACACCACATATAACATCTCAGTCACCCGCTCACCCGGTTATAGATTGAACATTTTAATACAAATCAATTAGACAAACATTGCAACAAAAAAATTTTTTTTTTTTATTTCAGAGGCCATTGGATATTCAGTAGACCACGATGCTTTAGTGACAGAAGCTCACCACGCCTTTCTGCATGAAAATGCTCTGAACCCAATGATCTTTCCCAGTCTCAGGTAGGTTTATGATTCATGCTTTAAAAAGTGGAAAACTTGTTATATAACAGTTTAATGATGATATACGTTTAATTATGATGTCCTGCGAAAGCTGGAGTTGTTCCTTTAAACTCCCCATATGACACGTGGTCTGACTTGTCACATTAATTGGTTACTTTTTCTTAGAACCATGGAAACAGAAATTTTAAGTATGTCTGCAGCAATGCTAAACGGGGATGAAGATGCGTGTGGATTCCTCACTTCCGGTGGCACAGAGAGCATTTTAATGGCTGTCAAGTGTTATAGAGATCGAGCAAAGAAACTTTTCCCTCATATTAAAGAACCAGAAATTGTAAGTTAATTGCAGCTGATGTATTACCAAATAACAGTGGGAGATTTTTTTTCTTATCCAATGATTTATACTGTACAGCTAAGGCACCTATTCTGTTATAAAATTCTATAGTTGGTACTTTGGTACTTACAATATTGGACAAAACAATTATAGTTCGTCTTATATAAAAATTAACAGCACTATTGTAATAAAAGTTTGTATTTTTAAAACATACTTATTGGTTGCTAAAACACCCCTGTTACATTTTGGAAACTATTGAAAATATAGATTTGAAATACATTTCGTTCAGTGGGCAAACCACTGATTACGAATTTGATGCAGTTCTGAGCTTCTTGTCAGTTGATTTGCGACGGATGAGATATAAAAATAACACTGTTTCAAATTTGGGAAAATATATATAAACATTTTAGATGTTGGTATATCGTCAAACTTTGTCAAACTAGTAAATGAACCTTTACAGAGGGTCGCGGGTGGGGGGAGGGCAGATTCGTCTACTCTTCCTCAAATTCCAACTTTCACGGGTTCATTTATGTACACGTCAACATGTACACGGGAAATCAGGTTTTTGTACCATGATTTTCCAGGTGGAATTTGGGGACTTATGGCCAATCTCTTCGAAAAAAGTATCAAAGTAAATCATCCACCAATTAACCAGTTTTAGTCACTAAAATATATCTTGAATGTCTGAACTGCTTTATATTTTTGCTTTATTCAGATAGCACCAATCACAGCTCATCCAGTCATAGAAAAGGCCGCCCATTATTTTGGGTTGAAGATAACACGTACCCCAATCGGACCAGATCACAGAGCTGATGTCAAAGCAATGGAAAGGGTAACTATTTTGAAGGCAGTTTGCAATTGCTGTATAGCTTTCGGGACGCTAAAGTCACTTTTCCAAATCTTGGGCGCTTAGGACAAATTATAACAAACTTTGTCTTATAAAAACTCAAACGACATTTTCCATTTTACTAACATGAACATACTATTAACAAAATAATCTTTTATTTATTACAACTTGCAACTCGGGACTAACCTCTGGGTTTACCATTCTCGGGATACCAGGATGTTTGGGCAAGCAAGAAAGTCCAACAGGCTGACGATTATTCGCGGAGAGTGGTTATCAGACAGCATACGGCATGCAAACAGCTTGCCCAAGATTTAAGACATATCTTACTATGTCAAAGTACCCCAGATTTATATTGTAATCAAATAGATAATACTTTAATTTAAAAATTTTAAGAACATATGACCTACCTTATATGATAAAATTCGATATGAAATATGAATGTATATATTTCTAACTGCTTTCAGGCAATCACATCTGATACAATTTTATTGGTTGGATCTGCTCCACAGTTTTGCCATGGTATTGTTGATGACATCGAGGCAATATCCGATCTGGCCGTTCGAAAGGGGCTTCCGGTTCACGTGGACGGTTGTTTTGGTGGTTTTATGTTGCCATGGTGAGATGTATACTGGGCCATAAAATAAAATAAACCTATGTATATATTATTGAGAATTATATTAGTGTAATCCACGACGGATTGATCGTTTTGACAGCCGTAGTAATAAGCGCCGTGTGTAAAACCATTAAACCCCCAAAAGCACTGGACCAATACGTTAGTATTTGTACTCGCTCACAAGACAGCCACAAATTGAGAATTGTTGTTAACAAGCAAAAAGAAAATACCATTGCTATCGATCCTAGATACAACTGATGCCAGATGTTTAGAAAGTTCTTGAAATCCCATCCTTGTACTCATTGGGGTGCACGTAAAAGAACCCAAGAAAGGGGGTGGAAACGCCACGGTCCGGCGAAATTTTCAAGATGGTTGAAGTAATGTGCTGACGAGACATTAAATCCCATTCCATTAAGGATTTGAAATACCAGTAAAACTTGTATTGTCTTTCCAGGGTAGAGAAATTGGGTTATGAAGTACCTAAATGGGATTTCAGATGTCCCGGAGTAATGTCTATTTCAGCTGATATTCATAAATATGGATATACGGTTAAGGTAAACGTAGCAGATAAGAACTTGTCTTTTTAATAAATACACCATAAAGGTAAAAAAGAAAATGTTAAACACCCTTTTTGAGATCGACACAACCGGTTTACAGAACTCGTTTTCGAAAAACATATCCTTAAGACACAGTGTTCCAGACTAAAAGACAAATATGGATATACGGTTAAGGTAAACGTAGCAGATAAGAACTTGTCTTTTTAATAAATACACCATAAAGGTAAAAAAGAAAATGTTAAACACCCTTTTTGAGATCGACACAACCGGTTTACAGAACTCGTTTTCGAAAAACATATCCTTAAGACACAGTGTTCCAGACTAAAGACAAATATAAACTTTCAGTTTATACCAATTAAAAAGCAGTTATATCAAAAGGCATAGGTGAATCGGTCCAAATATTAATCGAAGAATCCTAACTTAAGTAGTTTTTACGACGTCATTGTTTTCTGTCTAAGGGCGTTAGCTTAATTACGATCTACTTTTACTTTAATCGTCATCTTTCAGCCTTCTGTATTCGGGCATTGAATTCCATACTTATATTTGTAGGGTTCCAGTGTTATTGTGTATAGAAACGCTGATATAAGAAAGTATCAAATCTTTGTCTATGCTGAATGGCCGGGTGGTCTCTATGGTTCACCTAGTATGGCTGGTACACGGGGAGGTAATATACACCAGTACATGATAGTTATCTCCCGCTTTATACTATAACTCTTAATTTTTCAAATATACTCGTCAAAAAAGGTAGTGGATATTGAAATGTAAATACCTATGCAGGTTGTGATATGATAAATAGTCATGGACACTTGACATTCTTTAAGAATATGTTCACAGTTGAAGAACTTATCGCCCCAACAGAACCACTGAGCTGCACATGCGACACGCAATAGCGCCATACACGTGGGAGGGGTTCATTGTCAAATTTGACACTTCAAGGAAGGGTTGATGAAAACTGCATCGTGCTGGTTTATCCTATCCATGTTTGCTTTCCTATCGGTTCTTACATAAAATTTACTGATTAGCGTATCTTTGCTTTAGTGTGTTACGTTTAATTTGCAATGTCTTCAACATGATGAACGTCTACGTGCTATTTACATGCTTCAAATGGGTTCTACACAGCGAGCAGTAGCTAACATGCTAATCACAGACTGTGGAACCAGTACCAACAAAAACACAATGCTGATGATAGACCTCGTTCAGGGCGTCCTAGAGCCACTACACAAGCCCAGGATCGATAGATTCGTACACAGGTCCTGCGAAATCGAGGACAAACGGCCAATCAGCTTTCTGTAAACTTGTACCAAGTTACAGGAATTCGAGTTACACCCCAACCGATTAGAAATCGGCTACATATAGCCCATTTGCATGCGCGACGACCGCGTGTTGTGCCTCCATTAACTCGCCAGCACATGGTAAACAGGCGTCAATGGTGTAGGCAGCGCAGAAATTGGGGTAATCGTCGATGGGCGCATGTAATGTTCTCAGATGAGGCGTGTAAATGACCGTCATGCTAACGTTAACGTCTGTTATGGTGTGGGGAGGAATCACCATGACTGACTGAACGGACTTGCATATTGTTCAAGGAAGTGTTACTGGTTTGTACTACCGTAACCACATCCTGGCACCGATAGTTCTGCCCTTTGCTCAACGTGAAGGTCGACGTTTCATCTTTCAAGATGATAATGCCCGTGCCAACCGCTCTGGTGTCGTGAATGACTACCTCCAGCGTCACCATATTGTCCACATGCCTTGGCCAGCCATGAGTCCTGACCCTTCCCCGCAAGAATTGGCCGTGGCGCTGCAAGAGGAGTAGGTCAGATTGCCCCAAATCGTGATTGAACGGTTGATTAGGAGCTGGATGTCTGAGGATTTGTGGAGCAATTACTCATTATTAAGACAAAATCAAAAACGTCCATTTTCACTTTTGACAGTGTATCTCTTTGCGAGTGAAATGGGGCCGTCAGATAAGCTGCCCATATGAACTGTTTATGTTCATGTGTAGGCAATTGGCCTGTTATTAACATACACTGGTTACCTCTAATAAAAACAGCAGTGCATTTTCGCAGTTTTGTATTGTTTCTGAATATCCCCTACTTTTTTTGAAGAGTATATAATGACTTTTAAGCAAGATCTATTGATGATTGTGGTCCGACACAAATGCAGACTGGTTGTAATGGCAAAACATAATATTGGATGTGGACAATATTATTTTTTGAGAATATTTATAAAAATCCTGTTCTCGAAACTCAGTCTTGTCTCTATAGGTGGAAATATCGCTGCATCCTGGACATCAATGAGAGCACTTGGTGAAGATGGTTTTATGAGAAAGGCGAAGGAATTAATGGACATTACAAATAAACTGAAAGAAGGCATAAATAACATCGACGTAAGTTTAGTATTTTATAAAATGATACAATGGCAAATATATACATTCGTACATACAACCGTATAGAAATAATATTTCTACTGGGAAGTAGCTTTGTTCAGGAACGCATCTGTGCTTTTTGATATACCGGAATGTATCTTTGAATACCGAAAACAGTATCTGCGTCCAGCACATCAAAACCGATTAAAATTTTATTTTAACGTGAATGGATGTTCGGGTTACTTATTTCGTGTTTTATAGTCGTGTACATCGTGTTTTATAGTCGTGTACATCGCTGTAACGTGTAATCTAATTGTTATACAAGTTATATGGTTTATATTTTTTAGGGATTGTGTATTCTTGGTAAACCATGTATGACTGGGTTTTCCATCGGTTCTAATAGCCCGGATGTGGATATTCTTGCAGTAGCAGACGCCATGGAAAAAAGAGGTATGCTTAACGGGTGTCAGTTTCTTGAATAGTTTACAGACATATGCGTGAATATTTTGTCATCATTTTCCAGAAAGGGATTTGAGAATCAGCATCGAGTAGTTCACGAAATGTCTTAATCCACACGGATGTGTCTACATGAAAGGGTGATTGGCGTATTTTTATAGAAACTATGCTAATATTTAATTGAACTGTAATATAAATTTTAGAAATAAAACAAGATGACATTATTTATTTAGGTTGGAAGATGGAACGCCAACAAAATCCCTTCTGTCTTCATTGTTCTATTTTACCCCATCATGCACCAGTAGCTGATAAAATGTTACTTCATCTGAAGGAGTGTGCTGAAGAATGTAGGGTAAGTAGCATGTTAGACCGTTACGACGTAGAGGATACAGCGGGGTGCAGGCGTGCGGACTATTGGCAATGTTTATTGCACGGAGTGGGGGTATTACTATAGGAACACCACTCGGGCGTATAAACTTGCAATATCCCTATTGCTCATATATTCATCCGATTATGGGGTATACACAACATTACTTATTTTTCAAAACAATTCTTGGGATTGGGGTTTTGCTTTCGAATTTGGGGATTTAAACTAGGTGTCAAAACAGGTTCGGGAAGCTGGCTCATTAATATTCGTACTATTGAGTCGCTAATAGCAAATACGTACAATTATACAAACCCTCAATTATACAATCGGCATGTATCTGATGAAAACGTTAACTGTAAATTTGTATTCATCAAGCCTCCGAGAGCTCATCTTTAATAGAAGACTTGATCTCGAACCCGCGTATGTTGTAAAACTAGCGGTCAATGCTTCAGGAACATGCCAAGAGCTGGAATAAGTTACTTTAATTTACTTTATCTGTAGGGCTACGTTTTGTAGATCAACTAAACCATACTACTCCTTGTCAGACATTTTCCCAAATGTAGCAACTGCTGTGCTTAAACAACTTGTTATCTTCCGATGACATCATGTACGCCCAAAGCATATCGTTTCCCAATTCGAATACCCAGTTAAATAGTACGAACGTTATATAGTTTACCTATATCGTGTGTTTGATAGCAACTGAAGAACATGAACAAAACCGGTATCTTGAAAAGGGGTACATGGACTTCCACAGACGTTTATGCCTACAAAAATGCTAACAAATTAGTTTTAACCTAAAAACGTTAGGATGAATGGAGAGACCTCTCGACTTTTACTTGCTCGTGCATTTATGAAATACTTTCAATTACTTTCATCTAGATACTTGAGAGATATTTACTTCTTTCAGTTAACTTTTCTTATCATTGTCATCGATTTAAAACTAAAGGCACATTCAGTTAGTATGGTCGGCTTCAATTTTATCTTGTGTTAGGTTCTATACTCGGAATATCACTATGGCTTTCAAAAGCACAACAAATGGTGCACTGGTCGTGGAATGCCATTTCTTCTTGTATGTTTAAACAATTCCAAATGTAATTTTAATTAAAAATCTCTGCAAAGGTTAATGCGCACCAACGATTTTAAGATTCGGGAAGTGAGACACGAACCCAACCTGTGGGTCGCCAAGCACGCTTTGTGGGGTCGTGGCGGACTACTCTGAAACTTTTGAAAAAATGTTATGTTTTCATGAAAAGCATATAAATCTATACATCTCTTGTCTCATTGCCAAGGTGTAAAATTTAAGCAATTTAAAACAATAAGTAGTCAAATAAGTGAAACAATAATGAATGTAAATCATGATAACGTTTCATAGTAAAAGGTGTCTGGAATGGGGTCGCAACCAACAAACGGTTGGGAACCACCACACAGAAGGGGAATTAGGTTTTGTTATCGGCTGAAGTAGAGAGCGGTAACATCTACACAGACGATTTTTGTTAGCTCACTGACAATTCATCTGAAGGGTTCTTATATGAGACGTTGGGGAGATATCACATCGAAACCACTCCACAATTTGCCGAGGGCAACATTGTCCTTTTCATATATGTTCTAGCGGCAGCAGAAATCCTTCCCGTAAATTAATCGACACTTGCTTTACTTGGCAAATATAGGAGTCTCTACGTACCTTTAATATGCTTTTATTACATAATATGTGTTCTTAATAACATCTTCCAAACACGGTTTAGTTTTCTTATGTTCATGATAGCTAGTACATAAACAAATAAGCTGCTATATTTTCCAATGAACGATTTATTTAGCGGTCAAGAAGCACAGTCGCTTTAATTATTAATTTTATTTTATGTTTCGAAATCTCAGTCAATCTAGCTCGTATGAAAGTCGGAGTGTTGTTTAGTCTGTGGGGTATAAGAAATTCCATGAGGCCCTATTCCGGGAAATGGGTGTGGATGGGGATGGGGAGGTGGTTGTATCCTCCTTTGTAAAATTCTCAAATAGAGTGATCTCCTGTTTTAGAAACGGCAGTATCTATGAATTGTTGTCAATATTCAAATCCGCATGATACAGAACAACCCGTTACGGGAATACGGCACCATCAAGTTAAAACACTGCATTAAAACCACCCGGTGAAAACGCAAGATAGGGCCTTTATATCAATGAAAAGTTGTGAGGTATAGCCGTGGCCAATAGACCTAATTTATCATGAAAGAAAACATCAGTTCTTAACTCCTAGTAAATAGATGCTAATTCCGTAGCCTTTCATGAACAGAGGCCCAAGTCGGCTGAACTAGAATAGCCACGAGAAGTTCCATTGTTAAAGTTATGAATGGAGCTCTTTGACCGTGATGTTGCTATTTCTCAACAGAAAGTCTAACAAAATATTTAGTTTATTAGAAACACGAATGAAAGGGTCTTAATGGAACAGTTTGATTAGAGACACACGTGAATGTCTTCATAGTGAATTGTATATTAAATAGTTCAAATGTCTTAAAATGACTAGACCGCTTTGATTTGGGTCAAAAGTTAAATTTTCGATATCTATAGATTTTATATGTTGATTTGTTCTGTGGATTAAAATTATGCCCTCGTTGAAATTATTAAATAACCCGACTCTGTCTTTGGCCTTGAGTCCCATTTAGCTATTGCGCACATTAAAAAGCACATAACACCTTATACTTGAAAACGATACTTGTCGCGCTATATGTGTATAAACCAGTCATTGTTTTCTATATAAATTGTGTTGAGTTTGGGTTTTTTCTTAGTCGTTTGAAGCAAAATTTTAGTCGTGTGAGCTTGTTCTATCAATAATCGTTTCAATCAAATTCAAACCTTTTTTTTTTTTGACTTAAATAAAAAGTTTGCCTCCTTTAAATTTAAAGTATGTTTCTCTAATAATTATCTCCAAGGACCGTATAAAATATAACATTTATCTATCATAGACATCATATTATGTATAAGAGCAACTTGAATTTAGAAGATCGAGGTAAGCCTGTACCGCGGGGTTTTCAATGAGAAGCAACCAAATTTTACACTGTCTTTACTTACTTCTTTTTGAAACTAGCGTATGGCATTTTGTCCGCCTACATTGCTTCGAATTGTGTCATGATATCATTAAGTCCAATGCCATTTGTTAACCCCGTCTCAAATTTTTCAAATTTCATGCAAATTATTTGATTTATTAAAATAATTTCAGCCATTGGATAACGACCGCTTTCTTTTATGAATTACGAAAAGAGAACCATAATGTGCAATTGTAACCTTGCTATACTCACAGTGTTATCTGGCATAAATGTGGCCGTGGAAGGGTGTTATAATATGTTATTCAAATATTTTAAAATATAAACGTTGATTTTACACCAGTCCTGCGACTATTTATCGCTTATTTGTTTATTTTCCAGGACAACAAGTCTCTGTCTAAACAAGGAACAGCTGGTGTGTACGGTATGATGGCTAAAATACCAGATAAAGGTCTCATCAGTGATTTTATTGTCGAGTTCTTCAGTGAAGTTTATAAGTGTAAATAGTTTCATAATGATCGATCATCTTTCGATGTCGATATCAATCGATAATCTTTCGAGGTTTTTTAGTCTTTGAAGCCCCAAAACGCCAGAAAAGAATTATCCAGTAGAGTTTCAGGCATTCATAATCAAAAGTACCTATACTAAAAATAGCATTTTGGTATTCAAATCATTTTAGTCCAAATATTCTTCTCAAATCGTTATCAACGCTAGCTGAAGTCATGGTCTTTGGTAAAACTTGATGCACACCAGAATCTTTACCTATCGTAAGACAAATATAGTAATACAGATTTGTTAATAAAGTTTTTGTTTTGTATTTAGATGTGCTTAAACATTAATAACAGTCTTTACATTACAACAAAGCATATTTTTATTTTTTGAGATATATGTGAACGATCTGGCTGTTGTAGCCTACCTTTAATCCTATGATCACATAGAGTTTCATATATTCACTTTCGTTTCGTTTTCATCCTGGATCAAAATGGGAGATTACTTAAACTTAAAACGGCAAGTAAGGGAAAGAACAATAATTGCACAAGTGTCAATCTAATTAAAACATAGATCTATATTTCATTTCGTTTTTTATACTTTCGATGGTCTACACTACATGCAAGTGCAATGACGTCTATGTGCAAGAGTAGTAAAGACAAGTTAAATCGAAATTTAAAACTATAAAAACGAAACGAAATTGGATCTGTGTTTTAATCAGATTGCACAAGTGTTCAAAGTACTTCAGAGTATCCACCCTTGACTGCTTAAACTGGTTTTTGATTGGATGTTGTCTACAATGTGCGCGTGTCAATATACTGGTTATCTAATATTTTAATAGCTAGGTACCAAATATGTCTTTTAGTCGTGGATGATCACGCTGTGGAACTTCACATTTGGAGATTGCAAACACGTACATTAGTGTAAAAGGTTGTCTTCTGTGGAATATGGCAATAAACCATTGGAATAAAAAAAATTTGGGGTGGGGGCTGTTGAAATGGGAGTACTAAATTCCGATTTACAGTAAAGTGTGCAGCATTTGAGCTACCCGAGGGGAGCAAATCCCGAATTATTTATGATACCGAAAACCAGTAGACGACTAAATAGTTTAAAATTGACCATGCTGCCAATCAACACAATGTTTTGCTCCTTAAAGGTCATGCATTTAAATGACTTTCTTAAATAATTTGGACTCGTTTAATCGTTCAGTGTGATTTTTGTAAATTAATACAGCCCGACTTGAACATGAGCTATTGTGGACAATCTATCTACGACAAACCCTCTATTTCATCACTTTGGTCGTTTAACAGCGGCTTCCCCAATAGTTATATCGCAGACAAAACCATCTATTTCCAAATAAGCAGTTCTGTTGTCCAGAGACGGTTTTAACCTTTGATCAATGGAGACCATATACCAGATACCCGATTTGAACCAATCAGATTAAAACGCATATCCTATTTCGTTTTGTATAGTTCAAAATTTCGTTTTACTTTTCTTCACAACACTAGGATCTGGAAGGGTTGTTATATAACACGCGTTCTGGTTAAAGTGAGGGATTAGCCAATAAAGAGGTCTGTTACGGCGAGTTCTTGGCGTGCGATGCACGGAACTGTTTGTAAACCACTAGAAACGCCAACGCTGATTAATCAATGTCTGACGTCATAGGGTCAAAAGCCGCCGGTACGACCCCTGACTCGACCGTAGACTAGAACCGGTTAGACCTTCATGTAGTGTAGGCCATCGAAAGTATAAAAAAAACTAAACGAAATATAGATCTGTATTTTAATCAGATTGGATCTGAACAAACTTTGTGTTGGCAGGAGGTTAAACCCCATTTCATTTCATTTGAATTTTGTGTTGGCAAATAATAAACTTTCTACGTTGACTTTAAATTAGCCCCGATGTTCTAAAATAGCAGCCATCGTGTCCATTGTAACTGACGACATGCATATACAGTTTACACAATGTTGTCTCAGTCCACCAGTTAGCAATGAATTGTGCAAGAAAAAAAAAAAAAATTAAAATACAAGGTAAACGTCATTTTCCTATCGATCAATCGTAAAACATGCAAGAATCTCCATGTGACCTTTGACATGGTGTACATATCCAGGAGTTGATATAGGCGGGTTAATGATCTAGACTAATAACTGACCTTTTTTGATCAAGGCAGCAAATTCTGTATATGAAATAACTATTGATCTTAAGAGTTAGATTTAGCTTTGATACCACATAGTGGAACTCTGTGGTTTTTCTTTATCCCCTGACATGGGGCATTCTAAACTTTATAATGCACTGTGTTTAACCTCCATCCTGCAACCTGACTAGGAGAAACCGAGTTGGAAAATCTTGAAGAACCTTCACTGCCAAATGTTGATCAGACCCTGTCTCCCCAGTGTTTATAAAAGCCCCGACCCAATTTTATGATGGTGGGGGTGGGGGAAATACTTGGAAAGAAACCCTCAAAAAAATACTGTCTGTCTGTAACAGTTAGTCTTGTGCATCCTTTTAACTCCTGTTTCTTCCTATTGCCATAGTTTATTCTCAGATTTTTATTTCTAACACAAACATGTAGTTTTGTACAACTATTCAAAGAAATTATTTTTAATGTACTCTTTGAGAATTTATACATTATACAGCCAGTATGACAAAGTTAATCGTTAATCTTGGCGCTAACTTTTCACAAGTATACATGCAGATACTTTAATACTTATTACAAGATTGGACAGGAATTTCAAAAACACACATTTCATAAACCTTATCTACAAGAAGAGGAAAAAAAAGTATTAGGAAATATAAACAGTGTCAGCCAACAAATATATGCCTACCATAAGAATTTTGATGGTAACACAGTAACTTTTAAGTTTTTCGATAATCCCTTATAAAATTGATTGGCGAGTCTGAATAATGACTGGTCAGACAATCTCTTTAAGTTTGACAAACATCCTCACAACTAGCCAAACAATCTCACCAAGTCTGAAAAAATGATCACACCTACTCTGACCTGTAAAGAGTTTACAGAGTTTTGGCAACAGGGGCAGTCAATCTGCTAAAAAAAATGTTGGGAAGGTCTAAATTTCGATAGGACTTACTGAACACAAATTTGAAAAACAAATTTGGTCGAGTCCGGAAGGAGAAACAATAATATACTACCATATGAAATGTGATTATATAAAAAAAGAACTCTTACCCAAATTAAACAAAACTATACATTAGTGCTTCAGTATAATGCTATTACTGGGGGTTCATTGTCAATATAAGTGGTATAGTGATAAACTTATATACAGTGTTGTTACATAATGGCATCTCCCTTATACAGAAACCCATCTTACAGAAACTAATGCTCTTGTTGATCAGATCCTGTTGTAATTAGGACAACAAGACAGACAGCCTACAGACATTTTAAACAATTACCTTCAGATATCCATCTTGACCATTGAGGTCAACCTATAGAAATGACTTACATAAGTGGCCCTTGATGCTGCCAATACATGACTCATGGAAGCTATTTTGGAATTCAAACAATAAGATTGGGCTTTCTGGTCAGTTATTTCCCCATTTTTTAAACAAATCATGCCAGTTTTAGTAACAGGGGTGTGGATGCCAGTCAGGGGTGTTGATGCCAGTCACAAAGTTGTAAAAATGAAACATAACAAATAATATATATTATATAATGTAGTCATACGTTATCCTGAACATTATGTTAAACAAAGACATTTCTTAGTCAATACTGATAAAGATTTCCTGATTGCTATCAAACAAAGTCGAAGATTTTTTTCTCATACTGATCGACAAATTTTTAGGATTTATCCTTAAATAAAGTTAAAGAAAGCACTATGCACATGCAAAAGAACAATAATTAAACGATAAATGAAAACAAAAAAAGGAATCCCTACAGATCCATATGAATTAAAAAGTTCATCAAATTGCAGTTTTTACAAGCTGAATACGAACTATTTCTCTTTATTAAATTTGTCAAATTCAAGAAAGTAAGCATTTAACAATCATCTTTTACAGAACTGATGACATGGATATTTTTCCTGCTTTTGAAACATCCGATTGTAACAATGAGAAACCATTAGAAAATGAAAATTAATAATAGAAATATTTCTCTTTGAACTTTCAACATCCAAATGTATAATTGAATCGTTAAACAATAATTAATTATTGAGGGGTTCAACTTGTGGCGTTGAAGTCTCTCGTTTAACAACTTTGTAACGTCCGGAAGAACTGTCTTTCGAAGACATAACATAATCAATGAATTCTTTTGAACACAGGTCTTTCGTGATGGCTTTTTGGATGGTGGTATATGCCACATTCTTGCGTCTTGTTAATTGCACAATAACTTCCATTGTGTCGGCTTGATTTACCAAAAGTTGGGAATGGTAAGATGGTAGATCGGATATAACCATTTCCTCCAACCCCTCTGTTTTTGTGTATTGCTCAATTAAGTTGCGTAAAACGGCATCAATCCACGGGGACATCTCATCTGGCTCTGGATCGTCTTTGGCAGCAAGATGCTCCTGTGGGTTAACTCCCTCTAATAACTTGGGTTCCGATTTCTTTAGTTCGTCTGCCTTTTCCTTAACCTCATCAAAGGTCAAAGTTACTTTTTCATAATCCATTTGTGCTATCTATAAAATACAACACAACAATCAAACATGCAAAAAAAAAATATCTTAGTCGTCAGACAATCCTTTCTAAAAAATCTAATGCATGAGGAAAGTTTTTATTTTCGTGTTTTTATTTTGTGTTCTCATAACCATCACATTTCAAGTCACTATGTTGTTTATAGGAATGAATGGTTATTCGGAATCATTTTTGAATGTTAATAACATTTATCAGGGTTGTTCAATCACAGATTTATAAAAAAAACTCTTTCACTTATTTCTGTAACCCAGGAAAAATATTAAGGTGTGGTAATTAATTAGACTTTTAGAAATAAAAACGGGTCATGCAGCCCTTTTTAAATGGCATGGGAGTATCTGAGAAACAGAATATTTTTTTTATATGGCCTTAGAAGTTAGACAGACATTTGTTGACATATATAAATGGACAGATATGATCGGCTAAAATCATCAATGCATAATCCCCTGGAAATAGAACTGATATTCACTTTATGATAAAAACTATTTCTAGCATGTATCAGTTGAGGTTGTTATATTTGTAGGTGCCACTGAAGATGAGTGGCCGAGCATTAGACTCTTGATTAGAATGTCCCAGGATTGAGACTGGCGTGGGCCAAGATTGAAACCATCAGGCTTTTTTCAAGCCCAGTCTTCACTTGTTAGAGGTGGCACCTGTGGGACTTATATGGAAAATGTGTCAAACCGTAAAATTCTCCAACTTCACATGGCAAAAGGAATATTTCATTCTCTTTGTTATTTTCACACTTAGTGCACATTAGCCATAAAACATAAATAATATTCTTACCTCTACAGATGTATCATATTTTCTTAATAGAACTGTTTTAGCTCTCTCCATTGCAACGTTTTTAGCCGAACCATCTTTATTACTGTTAGAGTCAGCTATACATTTACCTTGTATGTATATTATACACCTGAAATTACAAGCAGAATATTTACCTCTGATGTTACGGTAATCCATGGTGTATTACATGACAATGCTGTCACACTCTAGATGATTTTGACGATGATGCATGTTTAATACCACTCTATACTGCTGGTACAAGAGGAAGGAAAGTTGAGATCTCATAGATCATAACACTTGTTAAAATGTATCTATATACAAAGCATGGGCTGTGCCTTAAAGCAATCTGGCAGATTGTTCTACTATTGCAAAAATTAAATGCTAACAACAAGAACAATGTGTGATAATTCATTATTAATTATGTATCACATGACAATTATCCAAACGCCAAACAACCAGCACACACATACACAATGGACATGTCTTTATGATACCACGGTGTATACATTACAGGGATGTGCTGAGGTAGGGGGGACAAGCCAACAGTGAGGCTGATGTCCCCCACTGAAATCCCAAAATAAATAGATGACACATTTTAATTTATCGCACATTTATTTTTTTCAAAAGCATCAAGCAATCAAACTGATTATCAACTATACACTAAGTTTCATCACTCCCTATCAGATAGAATCAAAGTTACTCGTATCTTGTCCTAAAGCATTGACCAATGAAATTGCTTAGCTCTGCTTAGTTTTAGCTTGAAATGTTAATCATTGAACTCAAACAAGACATTCGCCTAATTAATGAACATCTACATCAAGTTTAAACATTCTACCTGAGTTGTTACATGTACATGTATGTTCCAAAGACTTGACCAATCAAATTGCTTATCTCTCCTTAGCCTAAGCAGAAAATTCTCATCATTGAACATAGTCAAGGTATTGATATAATGAATCTATACTCAGAGTTTCATCACTCTCACTTAAATATAACCAAAGTTATCATGCCCCAAAGCATCAACCAATCAGATTGCTTATCTCTGCTTACCGTAAGCAGACATTGTTTATCATCGAACTAGATCAAGGCATTCACCTAATGAACGCCTACACCAAGTTTGAACATTCTACCGCAATTAGAAGGAGAGTTCTTGTGTTCCAAAGTCTCAGCCAATCAAATTACTTATCGCTCTGCTTACCCTGAGCAGAAAATGCTCATTATTGAACTTAGTCAAGGTATTGATTTAATAAAACTATACACCAAGTTTCATCACTCTCACTTAATTAGAACTAAAGTTATCGTGTCCCAAAGCATCAACCAATCAAATTGCTTATCTCTGCTTACCCTAAGCAGAAAATGCTCATCTTCAAACTCCATCAAGGCATTGACCTAATAAACACCTACATCAAGTTTGAACATTCTCATGTAGCTCAACTAGAAGGAGAGTTATTGTGTCCCCAAAAATGTGACGGACGGACAGACAGACGGACGAACCTATTTTAATAGTCCCCTGCTTTCTTCAAAAGGCAGGGGACAATGAAGCATGGAATATAAAATCAAACACTGCATAATTGAATTCTATATCTTTTTACTTTTACAATTTATATGCGTTTTTTTCTAAAACCTAGGGTGGGAGGGGGATTAATGTGTAAAATCTCAGATCTTCAACATAATGTAATTCTATCTCTTACCTTTTACAATTTCCACGATTATTTTCTACAAACTCCATGAAAATATTATTAGCTAAAGCCGTCTGTTGCAAACAATTCCATGCTGATGCTCTTCCCAATGGCAAAATAATCACCAGGTCATCCTTCACCTCCTCAAGACTCTTTGTGGACACTCCCTTCTTCTTCAATTCTTCCAGATTAGAATAAACGCGATGTCTGTTCTCTGAAAACTGCACATCAATAATGTTCTCATCTGCAAAGTTGACATTTGTGAGTCGAAGAGCTTTGTTGAGAAGACCTCTATTTCTACTGGGACTCAGAAACAGTTTCTCACGTGCTAGCTTTAGTGCATCTTGATAAGCATCCTTTTTTCTAGGTGAATCTTTTTGAGCTATAAAAAGATCATCAATGTACAGCTCACATGAATATCCCTTCTCAGTTTGCCTGTAGATGTGAGTAATCCCCAGCTCAAGCTCATACACGATTTCTTCAAAGTCGCGGTTCACGCTGGACTTGTATAAACTGTGAACACCATGATGTAGTGATTCTAGTATCCAATGCAATCGTTCCTTGTTCATGGAATTTTCTGTCTTTTTTTTCGTGGGATGAATATGGTCATTGAAAAGTTGTTGAGAATTAGAATAGAGGAAACTTATAGGTTTGGTGATCAGCAAGCGTAGGGCTTGAGAATAGGAGAAAGCTTTTGCTTCCACTTTATTCCGTCCTTCTTCCACAGCTATCAGGATGCCATTGATTATCAGAAATCCACGGAACCTATCATCTGCCAAAGCTTCATCTTCATAAATTGTTCTTATCATAGCATCTTGGCAATTGTGTCGAGAGGTTTCAATGACAGTCATTGCTTGTGGAAAATCTTCATACTTGAAAACTTCTCTTTTGAGTATTGTCAATCGGTCCTCTGTGGGCAATGATGATCCATAAGGTCGATTTATAAGATCTGACATAAAGAATTCCACAAGACCTTGCTTTTTTTGTCCTTTTGAAGGATATCTTCTTTCTCTCACCATATCTCGGCTACCTTTTCCCAATGACTGTTCATAACTTCCATAAGCACCCCCATAAGCACCTTGACAGGCAGACGAGCCATAACCACCTCTGCCCATTGCCATAGAAGGACCATAGCCACCATATCCACCAGAGAAAGGCCCATATCCATCTCCACCTCTCATTTCACGAGGACCATAACCAAAACCGTGACGTGATTCATATCCATATTGTCGTGGATCATAACCTCTTGCCCCATACATCTGATATTCATCTACATGACAATCATCATAGTCATAATATCCAGCCGAACAATCTTGATTCCTCATCAATGGAGCACCATGTTGATTAAACCTCCTGCCTCCAAGACCACGTCTTGACTGTCCAGGTACATCAAATCCATGAAAACCATATTGATTTGAATATCTCTTGTTTGGCATGGGAAAAGGCATTGAAGCTGCTGCTTTCTTGGATTCCTGTGAAGCTGTAGTACTAGTAGCGGATTCATTAGTATTGGTTTTAACTAGCTGAGACATCATCTCAGTTTGTAGCTCAAGAAGCATTTGCTGTTTGGTAAAGATTTGTTTGAGGACCTCTGGATCTGTAGGAAGACCCTCATTAATTTGATCCTGTAGTTCTTTCTGGTAATTCTTTAGGACTGTTGGAATGACATCTGAAGCATTTTTTTTTGGTCCTTTCTGTTGTGAAATTTCTGGAAATTATATTCAAAAACGTTTTGTTTAGAAATGTCAATATCTTTAATTAGGGATTTAGAAATAATTTTTGAAGCAACCTGTGCTTTTTTCCATGTAATGGCCCAAAAGATGACATGTAGCGTTTTAGCTCATTTAAAGTTAATGTCTACTATTTACTGTACATCAATGCTACATACATCATTTATGGAGAAATCCAGCCGTATTATCATTATTCATTATCTAGTATGGTACTGAAAAGATTTCACAAAAACCAACAGTACATGTACATGCTGGATGTGATATTATTATGGTAGTTATCAATGGTTATCAACAAAGCCATTTACCTGTGCCATTAGATCATCGAAGACTAGTATGGCACATGCTGACAGCTATCCTGATAACGTCCCAATTAGTGTGGTAATTCATATTATAATTTAAATGACAAATTGATTTGTATTTCAGGTTGAACATTACTAAAACTACAGTGGACTCTATCACTTCTGACATCTGAATACTATGGCATTCTGTGAAATCCGTCATCATTTCATGTCCCGATTTATTTCCTTATTACTTCAATAAAAAAAGTTTTGAGCAATTTTGAATGTACAGAAAGTGTTAAGTTCTGTGTATTGGAGGGTGCATTATAATAAAGCTTCTGCCAGTATTCGAAGGTACAATAATACTTCGGGTATAATTGAGGCAATTGAGTATTTCGATATTCCGTCTAATCCGGCATATTGTATCGATTCCGCACGATGTCGGAATTGACAGAGACCATACTGTATTTCAATTCTTTGATAATTTATGCCCCGGTACTCGACATGTAAGATGACTCACTAGATTTTGAATTAGATTTCTGATTTTGGTTGCTGGCACCCTGGACACCACCTTCATCTTTAGCACTCATTTTGGTTCTCTTAATTCTGAAGCAGAAGTTCAATTACAATTAAACGAAATCTAAATGGACCTACAAGGGAAGGAAAGAACTGTGGTTTAAATGTCAAAACTGGAGATTGAACCATGAGAAAATACATACATGTATGGTAGTAAGGTGTGCAAACTAACTCTGTGTGATAGAGATGGCAATCAAATTCGAAATTGCAATCAGAAAATATTGCAATCTGATAGGGTTCTTTTTTTATAATATCAGGAACAATCCAACTGAGTTTCAAAACATTATTTCAAGAAATGTTTCCTATATCGAATTCACAAAATTTCACAAGTTTGAACGTAACAGGTACATGAAATAAACAGTTACAATCCTTGTAGATTTGAAAAAAACCAACCCAAAATAGTCTTCGGATGAAACGAAAAATTTAGGTCCCGTGTAAAGTTGGAATTTGATATAACAGTAGGCTGTAGTGTCATGAGGTAAAATTTCCCTCATACCACACTGTATAGCATATGCTCATCCTCATTAGCCCAGTCGGAGCAGAACAGTAGGACATTAAACCCCATTTAATTTCATTTTATTTTAAAAAAAAAACCTCCAAGAACACGGACAACAATTTATATTCATATTAAATCTGGACCACATTCTGCTACAGACAGAACAGAATGTCATCTTCTGGCTGAGCATGCACTTACATCCATATTTGGCAATGTAAATGGAAGTACTGGTAGCCATCTCTGTTGGCCAACCTCCACATAAACAAAACCAAAAAGACAACTCTGCAGATAAACAATAAATATCAAACATGTAGACTGTAGGCTTATATCAAATTAAGTCGAATACTAGGTCTAACCCTAGATGAAAAAGAGCGCATAGTGTTTATATCCCTTTTAATGCATGAGCATGATTAGCTACGAGATATACTGATGTGCTTGTTTTTAGCTACGATTGGATGCCTTTAGTTCCAAGTGGCAAACTCGATTTCTTTATTAATGCATGTACCGTCTTAAAAATAAGTTAATTTTATACTATTAGTACTTATTACACATACACAGCCCTATCTACCGAAACAACATTCATTTATCAGCAAATATTGACAATAAAGTAAATCAAGCATTGTTTTTATCAAAATTGATTCAGACATTCATACATGTAATTACGGCGTATTACTACTGCGCAACTCTGATCAGATTAGTACTTTGATTGGCTATTGCACATGAGGCCCAGCCTTTATGTGTTACAGACGTAAATTTAAAATGTCGGAAAAAGCAATCTACTGTCGCTTTGATTTAAAATGAGGAGATTTGTACCCGTTTCAGGTAGATGCTTAATTGCGTTGGGTGTGGCAGATCGTTGTTTTAATTAAAAATATTGTCAATTTTGTTTACAAATGCCGGGTGCGAATCGCTCCCACATCATGCTACGTTGAAGTTAATAGTACCATTTCTTATCTCGAAACACGAGGGTTGAGAGATAAGGTTTGTTATCTTGAGCATGATATGACTCGGGCCTATGTCTGTCTCTAGCAAATATCTGAATCTATACAAAAATGACATTGACTATGAACAATAACAGTTGCTCTACCGTACATTCTAGTTCTTCGGAATATTCACAATATAAGTTGGGGAGATTGAATCAGTTCTTCGTTTGTGCTTAACATAAAAGAACAATTTTATTTCTTCTGCGATGCTCAAATCAAAACCTTCATTTTTTTTACAATAATTGAATGTAAGTAAATTCACACGAAGTAGTAAGGAAAATAAGATCGTAGACAACTAATATATTATGCATATGTTTGTCAAATACTGTCTGCAATTAATATGCATTAAAATTTACACCACTAAACCTTACAAATCTTATTTTTCATCAAAAATACACGTGTGAAAATTCGATCCCACTTCCGACATTTGTTGACATCACGTGATAAACCGGCTGATCAAATGTTCCTTTTTCCAACAAGACCACTATAAAGGGGAATAAATCTGTATAAAACCTGGAGTAAGTCAACTAATTATTTCACCAGAGGGACTGTGACTGTTTTTGGAACATTCCGTGGAGGCTAATCCGATATCAGCAAGGAGCAAAATGTCAAAATTATCGAATCAAAACCATAACAGGGTTTGACCACACTAATTTTTAGTTGGGTTTAATGAACCTTTACTTTTTGTTTTTAAAATTGATTTTATAAATTATAAACTGTATATGGTGACTATATTTTTTTTAGAGTAGTATACCTCACAGGGTGCTCTGGCTTTGAAAAGCACAGCTATAGTTTCTTAAATAGTCATTTTTCAGCAGAAGATGTTATTTTATTGAGAGGATCAGGAGGGAGAAATGGGATTTAACATTCACATGACACAAACTAGGTCATTTCGGGACTAACAAAATATGATTCAATTTATACTCTTCAAAAAAGGTAGGGAATATTGAAATGCAAATACCTACATGTATGCAGGTTTTGATATGATAAATAGTCATGGACACTTGACATGCTTTGAGAGTATGTTCACAGATGAAGAACTTATTGCCTCAACAGAACCACTGAGCTGCACATACGACACGCAATAGCACCATACACGTGGGAGGTTTTCATTGTCAAATTTGACACTTCAAGGAAGGGTTGATGAAAACTGCCCCTTGTTGGTTTATCCTATCCATGTTTGCTTTCCTGTCGGTTCTTGCATAAGATTTACTGTTTAGCGTATCTTTGCTTTAGTGTGTTACATTTAATTTGATCGGGAGACGTGCTCGTCGACGTCAACGTCAAGCGACAACACTGCAAAAATTGGCCGTGGCGTTGCAAGATGAGTGGGTCAGATTGCCCCAAATCTTGATTGGACGGTTAATTAGGAGCATGTCACGACGAACTGCTGAATGGTTGAGGATTGGTGGAGCAATTACTCATTATTAAGACAAAAATCAAAAACGTCCATTTTCACTTTTGACAGTGTATCTCTTTGCGAGTGAAATGGGGCCGTCAGATAAGCCGCCCATATGAACTGTTTATGTTCATGTGTAGGCAATTGGCCTGTTATTAACATACACTGGTTACCTCTAATAAAAACAGCAGTATGCATTTCCGCAGTTTTGTATTGTTTCTGAATATCTCCTACTTTTTTTGAAGAGTATATTTCAATAATTGGTTTGCACATAGGGATCATTAGCAGAGGGAGTAAACCGGAGGGCTTGTAGAAAACCCACATGGTTGGACAGGTGACCCTGTTCCTTAACTCGTACAAGTGGGGAATCGAAACCACGCCACTGGACTCAATGCCAAACCTCATGATTTAACGTGCATGTGTTAAACCATTCGGCCACCCACCCCTTACTTTATTGAAAACATTGAATGTGACATTGTATTTTTTTTACAAGAAATCAACCAAGACACAACCCCAAGAAAAGTGTGCACATCAGTTTTTTGGAAAGGCAGAATACAATGCCTAAAAACTGTTGGCACTGTATGTAAATATAGGTTGCAAGGCAAACAAATATACACCCACAGCAGTTGAGTCGTCTAAACAACCCACAAAGGTGATCGCATATTTTTTCTTGTTAATAATGAGAGCATTTACAAGACACTATAAAAATTAAATCATGAATAACAATACCTGAAGTAATTATCAGAAATAACTAAAATTTGAATGGTTTACGTCTTCTTCCCGTGTACATATTGCATGTCAATCAAATGATAACTTTAGCCTCTAGAACTTCCACATTCTTATTTAGAAAATCAATTAAACTTATTCATTCATAAAGTTTTGAATTGTAATTACTATGAAAGAAACTTGAAATATACTTAAAGAAATAAAAACAATAATAAATTAGTTTCTCTAAGTGCACTGCAAATAAAAGCAATTTGATTAATTTCGAAGACTTCAGATATGTACCGTAATCTAAAGCACAAATAACTCTTTTGAAAATATAACTTCAATTCAACCTGATAATATCCAAAAATAATGAAAGTTTTACCTCTCTGTTACTCATCTGAACACTATCCAAACAGTTGTCTTTATTCACAGCACAAGCAAAATAACAATTGGGTTGTGTCAAATCACCCAATGAAGTAAACCGTAACTTGTTCGATTTTGCAGAAAATTGATTTATATGCTTATTTTGGCTGACATCCCAGATTTTAGCTTGATCGGTCTAACTGTTCCTGGGATCTTCCCCATATAATTTTGGCTGTTTTGTCTAACTTGGGCGTAGCTGCCAATATTGAAAAGACCATAGTTCTGTAACCCATTGGTCAAAATTGCTGAAACGGGTATTGCTTGAAATGCAGTTCTATAAGGATTCCGAATCTGTCATTAATTTGGACATAGGAATGTTTTAAAGAGTGTTGACCTTAATGATCTTTACTTTGATCTTGAATTTGACCATGTTAAATCTGAAATGATTAAAATACTGTGCTAACAAGGATGTGAATCCAATTCCTTCTCTTTATACGAGCACTTCTCACGATTCTGAATTGTCCCTGAACAATGAATTAACAGGAATATTGACCTGTTGAATAAAAATATTTCCAGATTTGGCTCCAATTTTATTGAACAAATATAATACAAACTCTAGGCCATGACAATAATGTGATAACTGGGTGATAAGCCAATGAAATGGCCTGTTTAGTCAAGCTTTATTCAAGTTCTTCACAGAATTCTGGGAGACATCTATTGGTCAGTAGACAAAACAAAACAATGGTTAATATTAATAATAATTCAGTCATGAATGTGACCCCTGAATCTTCCACACAATCTGGTGACAGACATCTACATGTATATAGAGTGAAGGCTGCCAAAAGCATAAAACAAAAAAAATGTAATCAGATTGCTTTAGTCAGCATGTCAAGTTTATTCTACAGTTGATCAATATACATAACAGATCATTAACAATTCTATAACAACAAAGTGATACAGGACAGCGGGCCTTACAAGAACAGCTGTCTAGTCATTAGGATGTTGCAAAAAAACAAGACAAGGTCCTGTGTACACATTGGAATGCACATAAAAGAATCCTGGATAGTTGGAATTCAAAATAAGAGTAGGCCGTAGCGCTGCTGTCCTGACAAAATTTCCCTCATAGCATGTGCCTGTCTTCATTTCCATCAACAAATCTTGCCCAATAAGATGGCTCTTAAAATACACTGCTAAATATTTTTTTCAACTACTGTTAGCATTACACCAGCTGTGGTGACAGTACAGTTAATAAGGACTTGATTCCATGATACTGGTGCCATTGATTCCCCCAATGTACATTTCCTTATTTAAAATTAACAAAAACTTGAGAAGTGGTTATTATATTTACACCATAAAAACAAAGTTATTCAGCTCAATGTTCACAGATAGAAATGATTTATCCTTCAGTGGTGTATAAGAGATAAAAATATTGACATGGACTTTAATCATTTCTGGATCAATTTTTGATTGGGAAGGCAACTATCTGAAGGTCTAATTTTGTCTTTTAATCTGGAATATCATGCCTTTAATACCAAAATTTCATAAAATTATTTTAGATCTGTTTTGCACATTCTTGTTCATAACAGTTTAATGTCTTGTTGCTCTTTTTCTATTATATTCATTATTATGTAAGATATAGATAGTGCTGGCCGTTCTTGCTGTCATAGTTCAAAAATACATTCCTGGGATCTGCCCCGTATAATTTGGCTGTTTTGTCCAACTTGGGCATAGCTGCCAATATTGAAAAGACCATAGTTCTGTAACCCATTGGTCAAAATTGCTGAAATGGGTATTGCTTGAAATGCATTTCTACAAGGATTCCCAATCTGTCATTAATTTGGACATAGGGGTGTTTTAAAGAGTGTTGACCTTAATGATCTTTAATTTGATCTTGAATTTGACCATGTTAAATCTGAAATGACTAAAATACTGTGCTAACAAGGCTGTCATAGATAGTGCTGGCCGTTCTTGCTGTCATAGTTCAAAAATAGATAATGAATAATGAATATACATGTAATATTGAAAATTTCATTCAAATTACTTTCTTCTGAGCGATGTTGTGGGTGTTGCAAGATGTAGCTTAGATAGTTTATTATCGTAGCAACTGTACTGGACTATCCATTTTATCATTAATTTTTTAATCTATTGGGCATTCTAAACCATTGAAATCTCTGCCATCCGACAGTCTAGAGTGTTGATTATGTTAATAAATGTCTAAATAATAGTTTATATAACATTTGAAGCCAAAATAACAACCTGCAATAGGCAGATTTAGCTCTTACATAACACATCTTTAATATGCCTCATATTTTTACCATGATTCCAAACAGTACTTTTCAATTTAATCCATTCAACATTCTGATGTTAACACAAATACAGAAACAGATATTTATATACACTTTAGAGTTTATTCAAATTCTAAAACTTATAAGTGATGGAGGGAGCACAAAGACACAAATGTCCACCATAACTTAAAGTTCAATCGATGTAATGTCTCTTTTGAGATCTATTTTCAATCTCCTGATGTTTTTGTATATGTGTATGTGCTATGTTTTAGCTTTCACAGAATTGACCAAAGCATTTTGTAAGACTGGGTATACTTTCTGGCAGGTCTGTATACAGGTTTTAATGGCCTGAAAAAAAAACAAAAATTATAAAATGTAAAATTCAATGAAAAATATTTTGTTGTGTTTTAAAAAAAATTTTGTATGTTTTCTAACAATAGGTATCCAGTAACAACTTGAATCATCTCAAATTTCCACATATTACCACTTGAAATGATATGGGGTTTAAAGTCCTACTGTTCTGCTCTGACTAGGCTAATGAAGTCGAGCTTACGCATTGCAGTGTGCTATGGGGAATATTTTGCCCAGACAGCAGCGCTATGGCCTACTCTTATATCAAATTCTAACTGCCAAGGGATCTTTTACGTCCTGCACCACTGACAAGGGGAAATCACACCAGAAAACACCAGGAGCAAACCCGCGACCTCCAGACTACCGAGCCATCGTCTCCCTCACTTAGCCACCGTGGCTCCCTTACCACTTGAATGGTTGGGCTTCAAATGAATAAAAGAGATAGCAGTCAAATGGATAAGACCTCCTACAGTTTGTCACCTCATGTTCCTTTAGCAGTAAAATGAGGCCCTGACATAATGTATAGCTCAAGTGTGGGTTAGTAGTAAAATAATACAAACCTGACTGATAGTTTCAAAATCTATTTCACCTTTTGATGTTAAAGCTGAGATCTGATTAATTGATGGCATCAGACCAACAACCACATTCCCCTCGTTTACATCGTTACAATCCTAAATCAAATATATAATATTGCATTACCGGTAATGAAAATCTTGAACAATGTGAATTTTGTCGCCCTTGAAATTTTACACACATAGGCGTAGATCATATATGGCAACCAAAACAATGTTGGTGATCAACACAAGATTTTACCAGAGAAGAAAATTAGATTTGGTTGGTTTATTCCATAACTAATCCAATAAAACATTGCAGGAAAATGATGAGAAATCAGATTTTAAATATTCACATCAATCTGTTGCTATGGTTGAATAATCAGCCATTTTTATGTTAAAAGTATGATCAATTCAAACTCTCTATGGAATACAATCACAGGGTTGTTATGTATATAGTGCGATGTTTCGACATGCACAAAAACAATACTGATTGAAATGTTGCTTTTATATTATATAACAAATCAGTGATTTTATTCCTTATAAATGGTAGTTGTGTTTTACCTGAGATCTATATTCTTCTTCTTCACTAGGATCTACCAACATAACATCACCATGGATACGCTGTAAACAATACGATACATGTATATACTTAATATAACATCTAATAGCTTCTATCATTTCACTCTCAACAGTGAGTTAGACAAGATGGTAAATTTGATCAAGTGTAGCTAGTGTTGGTTCATTGGGTGTGGTCAAAAGTAGTGTTAGAGTAACTAAACCTCTTCCCTTAAGTATTTAGCAATAAATTTTTTAAATGAGATGATTCCTGCTTTAATTTTTCCAGTTATGGAGAGAATTAAGAATTGATACATATTTATAAGATTAGTGATGATTTGAAATTCCAGATTTGTGTGATTTACCTCTTTCTCGAATGTTCAATTGAGTATCATGAAATTTTTCAAGTGACCATGTTTGAAAAAGGTACCGGTATTCTACTTTGTTACCATATTACTGCTTACATTAACCCTATACTCAATCGAGTTCTTTGGGTTTTTTTACAAATAGTGTAAAACTTTGGGTATACTTACAACAGAAGATCCGACAACAATATCATACATCTCAATACCAGCATCAGCTAATGCAAGTGATGCACATGTTATAGATGCTGCCAGTGCTGTAAAAATTCAAACCATATATAGATCATAGCTTAATCAAATTTTCAGAAAGTCAGGAATATTGGGTCTTTAATCTATTAAATGTTACTGGTAATATAACAAATCTATTAATTGTAGACTGCTTATTTAAAGATGCCTTCACACAAACTGTGTGATTTGATGATATTTGGACAAAAAACATATTCAGCTAATTTTATCTATCAACATTTTGCTTCAAATCCCTCTCAAAACATATCCCAAACTACAAAATTCTATTTTAAACAGCTGACTTGATTGGGAGAGAATCTATTTTCAGCTTTTATTTCTCGCTACTTTATTGTCCATTTATCATTAATATCGAAGCCTTAATAAATTCTGTGATTATCCTCTGCACAAATCATTTTCTGCCGTATAATCGCCTAGTCAGTTGTATGTTTAAGCCTCTCACTAGTCTCACTGTTCTCATAACTGCTAGCCATTCGATCAACCTATAGCTCCTCCCACTGACTACATGTACATCATTCAAGCCACCTTCCAGTTTGTGACACCCTTACAGTTTTGTTCTTTTCGTGTCCATTGTGTTGATTAGGTAGTATTTTTTACTATTAAGATTGGGTGTCTCTACTTTTCATATACCAAAATTGGCACACTTTTATTGGAAATAACTACCCAATTTATATTTTTGTGGGAACGCTTCTTTAACAGAAAGAATAGTACAGTAGAATCTGTATTAAGCAGCCACACAAGGGAATTTTCATGACTGGCCGCTTAACGGGAGTGACCCCTCTCAATAAAATCTGAGTGTTTGTTAGTGCTGATATCAAGTAAATTTTATGCTTGGATGCATTAGGAGCAAACATCAATACTTGCATCGCTGAAACTTGCTTGGGACGAAAATTATTTGACACAAATCTCTGATATATCTTCTGTAAACGTGTCATTTTGTACCAACATTGATACTACTGTCAACCACTGTGATGTTTTCGATATTATTTATCTCCATTTTTGTGAAGAAAATCCATGAATTAATTTTATTTTATCAAAAAGCACATGTCCCAAAAAATATTGCTGAATCTGTCACAGATTTTCAGGGGGTGTAACTCTGTATGTAATATAGGAGGCGCTAAAATTTCTGTTTTGGAACGAAGTGGCAATGGAAAATAGATACTAAATGATCGCGACAAACTCGGCTTTGACGGTACTAGTATTAGTTTATTCAATCAGTATCTAATAATGTTTCAATCCGTGTAAAAACAATAATCAGGGTTTGTCATTTAATAAAACAAAAGATTAATTAATAGGTAATCCCAGCTATGTTTATTGTTATTTCCACAGTTTGTTTTACCTGATCGGTGGGGGAGTAGATAATTAACTATTAATCACAGGATTAGCGGAAGTGCTATTTTGCTACATTTATTAGTAAAATAGTGACCGCTGGCCGTGTTAGAGGAGTGGCCGTTGATTAAAGAGATGAAACAATAGAATTTCTACGGGGGGAATTTATCGTGACTGCTCACAAGGAGATGCCGCTGAATGGGAGTGACTGCTCTTACAGATTCTACTGTATATAAATAAATAGTGATCTTACCACTGCCATCATTTTGTAGAACAGTTATGTATACATTTACTTGTGCTTTTGGAAACTTATCCTGAAAATATACAAATTCCCGTTGGTGTCTGTGAATGTGATAGTAATTCATGTCACTGATCTCATGCTATCGAGTGTTCAAAGTATACCCACAAGGCTTTCTGGCCATAACATATTACCAGCCAATCAAATTTTCACGTATTTATTTTCTTTAAGATCGTTCAAGAGTTCATTTTTCTGGAAAAACAATATTATCTTTAGTCTGACTAAAGTTAACAATGCTATTTGCCACTAGTGTGGACTAGAAAGCATCTTTGAGGCAAATTCATGGACTGACAGAAAACATAATGTTTCTACTTATTCTTACCAATTGCACAGCTGGTTCAAAAGCTTCCAGTAACTGGACTGATAAATCTTTTTCTTCAGCATCTTGCTGATGTTGTCGTTTCTTTTTACAAGAAAATGTTGCAAATTTAAATTCACAAGTAAGTTGTCCCTTCATACTAAAATCCTCTTTTCTCATTACCTCCCTTGGACCAAATCTTAAAATTATAAAAAATTATTAAAAGACTTTTTAATGGCTATGGTGGAAAATTTTATTTCAACATATGCTTGCAAATAGGTCTTTTTGGAAGTGGGGGGAAACTGGAGGTCCTGGAAAAAAGCCACATACGGTTGGACTGATGACTTTACACCAGCTTGCCACATACAAGCTTGGTATCTGAAGCACACCACCTGACTCGATGATATACATGTACCTTACAATCTAAAGTGCACACATTAGATCTCTCAACCACCTCAGACCCTCCAAAATCAGAATTGAAAATGAACTGAAATGGGGTTTAACATCCTAGAGTTCTGATTTAACTGGGCAAATGAAGAGGGGCATACAGTGTACTATGAGGGAGATTTTGCCCGGACAGCGACACTATGGCCTACTCTTATATCGAATTAAAACTGTCATGCCAATGCGTACACTGGACCTCGGTTCTTCAGTCCCATCAAAACGACTATACTTTGTCCTTTGTCAGGTCTTGCGCCGGCACCACTCACAAGGAGGAACTTTCTCCACCAACGCTGGAATCGAACACAGGACATACAACGTCTTACTCACTGAGCCACCACTCCAAAATGAGAGACTGGTAAATAAGTCTGAATGAAATGGGGCTCAGCATCTCGTCAACACAATATTATGATCGTTTTCTCATACCATCTGAACAACTTTAACCTGTTAAGCGTGACGTTTTTAAAACGTTAACTACCCCCTATTGTGTAATTAATTGGACGAAGTGAAGAAGAACTATGTACTATGTTCTAAGAATAGGTTGGGGAAAATACCTCCAAGTTGTTATATTACGCCCTACACACAGTGAGTGGCAGTTGTCCAGGACGTTATATATCGACCTACGCACTTACTTTGTTAAATCTTGGCAGAAATGAAATGAAATGAAATGGGGTTTAACATCCTACTGTTCTGCTCCTATACTGGGCTAATGAAGACGGGCATACGCCATACAGTGTGCTATGAGGGAAATTTTGCCCAGGCAGCGGCACCATCGCCTACTCTTATATCGAATTCCAACTGCCAGGGGATCTTTTACGTGCATTCCAATATATACACGGGACCTCGGTTTTTCGTCTCATCCGAAGGACTAGACAGCTGTCCTTGTCAGGCCCTAAATCTTGGCAGAACCAGAATTTGCACCGTGAACATTCTAGTAGAGTGACCAGCACCCTACCACTCAACCACACAGCAGTCCCAATATGACTGAAACAAGAGACTGGCAATACAATAAATAACTTACACAGCACATATAACCTTGGTATGATTCTGTTCTATATAAGCTGATCCCTTAGCTTGACTAATTAATCCAGGTCGTAGAACTGAAACAAATGGCATAAAATAATATTTCTCTGATACATGTATTGCATTCTTCCAAATGAAAGTTCAAAATTCTGTTTTACTTGTCTTCTCTACACAAGGATCTGGAGGAGGAGTTAAATAACCCAGGTTCTTGTTGCTGTGAGGGTTTAGACAATCAAATGGTCTGTTGTGTCAAGTTCTTAGCGTATAGTGCCCGAAAATGTGGGTAGACATTCACAGCGATAGAAAACAAATCACAGCAAAAGTCGTATTCCCAAATATACACTTAAAACACAGATGCTGATTGGTTAATTGAATGACTTCTATCAAAGGGTCAAAAGTCGATCGTATGACCCCGGACACAGCCTCCCACAACAACCGGTCAGATCCTCATGTAGTGGACGACTTCAAAAGTATAAAAATGAAACAAAATATAGATCTGTATTTTAATTCAATTGAATGAATATTACGACGTAGATCAACATGACTTGACCTTTATCTACTAAAGTAAAAGTTTGAATAGAGAGACAAACTGTCATCCCATAGAACAAATAATTAGAAGATAGGTTGCCAGGTAACAAAACATATGTCCACAGCAGCTAAACAGTTGAAATGGTCGACAAGGGTTGTCACATATTTATTGTCTTTTAGGCAATGGTGGCATTTACAAGACAATTTCACACAGATCAGATTATAATTTTCGTCGTTTGAAGGTTTACAAGGTTCTACAAACTGAAACAAGGGCCTTAACTCTGGAAGTAATTTACAGAAATTGTTGAAATTCGACAAGCTTTTTCATCTTACTAATCCAAACAAATGCATATAAATTTCATACAGATCAGATGTTAACTTTTGTCGTTTGAGTGTTCACAAGGTTCAGCAAAGTAAATGAAGGACCATAACTCTAGACATAATAGACGGAAATTGCTGAAATTCAATAGGCTTCCCCGTTTCACTAGTTTAAATAAAATGATGCATATAAATTTCATACAGACAAGATGATAACTTTTGTCATTACAGCATTCACAAGGTGCAACAGGTAAAACAAGGGCCATTACTCTAGAAGAAATTAAGGGAAATTATTGAAATTAAATAGGCTTCTTCATCTCACTAATGTAAACAACATACAGTAAACTTCGCATAAGTCGGATCTAAGTGGACTGACCAATTTTATCTGAGTTAAGCAAAGATCGGAGTTATCCGAAGACCAAAATTCAATCTTAGCTCGATTAGAAATAACTGCAAGAGCAGGATAATAATTGATTCAATGGCAAATTTCAAGCTTTTGTTCACATGTGCGAGTAGATAACTTCCGTTTTGGTGCGAGTAGATGTCGTCATCTTTGAAAAATGTCCTAAATTTTTCAGGAAAGTGTCTCGTACAGCAGACAGCAAGTTTCGAATTATCCGGGAAAATTCTATTATTGCGTCGCATCAAATAGGCCGATTTGAGTCAAAATGATAAGAGGAAAGTATTTTGGGGCTCTGTGCATGGAATTCTGAACATACTGCCGTTCTGACTTAGGCGAAGGAAAAAAGCACAAATTAGATCAAATGGACCGAACATTTTGATACGAATTAGGAAATCTGACTTAAAGGCAGAAATTTAATAACAAAAATGTGCAGGATCAAAGGGTTCAAACGATTTTATCCTAGTTGAGCGAAGATCTGACTTTACTGTATATCAATTTCAAAACAATCAGATGATAAATGTAATCTTTAGAGTGTTCACAAGAAGTAGTGGACGACGGACGGTAAATAGTATTCTTCATCTCACTAATGTAAACACATATCAATTTCAAAACAATCAGATGATAAATGTAGTCTTTAAAGTGATCACAAGAAATTGTGGACAATGAACGTACAGACAGGGGTGACGGCTATATATACGACCACATTACATGTGTGCATATTATGGTTTTGTCGATGATAAGCAATTGTATAACCCATTCATTCCTTCACACCAGATGTCAATACATAATTCCCTAAAGAAGCTAGAACCCTGTATAGTGACATCTGGACATGGATGAATCAAAACAAATTAAAAGCTGAATGATGAGAAGACAGAATTTGTGATATGACCAAGATCTAAACAATCAATTTTTCACCAAAGACAAACATTGGCGATACTGAAATTTCAAAATCATGTAAAGCACGAAATCTGGGTTTCATCATGGACAAGGCAATGTCTCTCATCCCACAGGTAAACTTATACTATGTGTAAACTGTGAGAGAGATTAAAACCAATACGGTATTTAGAATCAGGAGGTATTTTACTCAAGATTCATGTGCTAGAGTTGTATAAGCATTGGCCATACATGTATCTCAGTTGGACTATGGAAATGGACTCTTGGCTGGCATTCCAGATTTCTCCCTCAACCGTCTTCAAGTTGCACAAAATAACTGTGCTCGACTAGTTGCCAAGTCATTTTCTAGAGATCATGTAACAGTAACTCTTAAAAGTCTCCATTGACTGCCTGTGAAAGCCTGGATTGAGTTTAAAGTGCTATCAAATGTGTATAACGCTTTGTTTTCGAATACTGCTCCCTCCTACATGAAACGATTATTCACATTTACAAAACAGGAAAGATCAAATCTACGTTCTTCTACAGAAACTACTGTATTATCTGTGCCTGCTTAATTACAAGAGACTCAGAAGAAAATTATCTTTCCCCATAATGGTGCCTATATGTGGAATAAGCTACCAAGAACAATTTGAGAAATTTCAACTTTTGTTAAATTTAAATCAGAGTTAAAAAAACACACTTGTGATGTGACATTAATTGTAAGTGCTATCAAAGATGAATAATATAAAACATGTTATCTTTGACCTAAATCAAAGAAGTAGTGCCATTTCAAAGATTATTTACTAACACAATGGTCTGATCTGATCCAGTTTTCTTCCATTTTTTCGCTCTCCATTTAACAAAATCTGAAATACAAAATGGAATCTTCAATGAATTCCAAACAACACAAACTCCTGAGACTGCAGATGGAGAGAGAAGACTGAGGTATCAAATACAATTGGAAAGTAAGCATGGCTATTTACTGAGTACAGAATTCCAATTATTTAGCCATTCTTTCCTAAAGCAAAAGACAATCGAGCAAACACGAGATACAGAATGAGGCCATAGATTTACCCAAAACAACCTAAACAACTTCAATTAACGATTGAAACAACCTGTACTTTATCATATTTTTTTTTATGTTGGGATTTTTGCGGTTATAATGACTAATAAGGTCATTGGATTTTAAAAAAAAAATGTTTAAGCAAAGAAATAGTCATGAATTTAACAAATACTATATATAGTCTGACTCCATAATCACTAGGGTGACAATAGAGTTGGCTTTCTTGATTTCATCTTTCATTCATTTACCGATTTTTTCTTCAGAACTATCATTAAAGCGATAATTTCATATTTTCTAAGAAAGCCAAAACATAATTATTTCTATGTCTTTTGCTCAATAGGTTGTCAACTCACTATTATACGATCATAGGTATTATTCTCCCTCTTAAAAATCCTTTGAACCCGGAAATAATAGCACAATTACCTCCCTTGTTTTTCTATTCCCCCCATGGAATAGCTATCTTCAAACGTTTGAATTTGAAGTTGAAAATGATATTTTTGCCAATTTCTCAATTGGCAATAGTGCATTATAGGATTAATAGGATTATTCTTTAATAAGGTAGGACTGTTTATAGATACCATCTATTTTAAGGCTTTTTTTAAATAAATTTTAAAAAAATAACTTAAAAATATGAAATTGCAGCTTTAAAGTAAAAGAGTTACACCACGGAATCTATATACATGTACGGTCCATGGTTACGCTTGCCTGTACATGTAAAATGAAATAATTAACCTCATAAATATATGTTGTTTTAAGCAAAATACTGATTGTTAATGTTCATGTTTTTGGTACCGTAATTAAACTTATTTGGGGTTATATTGGGTAAATATATATGGACCAGACGAATGTGACAATCGTCAATCCAGTAGGCCCTACTGTCTGAACCATCGTAAATCTTGAACGGATTTCTTCAATTATGAACAAACTACTTAACCTTGGTTATTATAAACTTACATGTGTTTCTGAAATCAACTCCTGTTAAATATAATCCATTGCATAACTAATTATCCCAATGAATAAAAAAGTTCTCTCTTGAAAAATTTAAATCCTACAAATTTTTGACATAGAAAAATACCAATATGGAAGCTGATTACGTCACTCTTCGGGAGATATCATTTCATATAGGGTAGGGTGACCCATGCACCTACAGAAATACAGTCAACCGCTGATAGTTCGAGACTACCACTGAAGCGTGCACATTCGCCGTGTCGAGGATAACTTTCTGACAGTATGATACTATAAATAGCCATGGCACGTGCAATTCTCTACAAATCTATCAACTATTACAGCCGTAAAAAATTATTGTTGATGATTTTGAATAGCAGTAAAATTAAGCTTCTTGGTTATTACAGCAGATTTAGAAATTACGTTTGTTTCATTTTTTAAATCGCTTTATCATTAACTGTACCGTTAAGAGCGGCATCTTTTGGTTTAGTACAAATAATATCTCTGAAACACTTGAGTTAGACAGGAGCATGATACTAGCAGTAGTTTCATTTTACTTTTACAAGCTTCTTAAAACAATTGTTGAGCTAGCTAACGTGCTCATTTCTAAATTCAATTTCTTGTTCTAGCTTTCTGTTATGTTTCGTAAAAAAGTAGTCTTGATTATCCCGGCCTGTCAATCAGCCCTAGAATGGTCGATAGACTGGTTAAGCGAGACTAATTTCAAAACAAGGGCACGTAACCTATCTTTTACTCAAAAGTGTCTGGATGTTATGGACGACACATGGAACCAGTTTGCAGTCTATTATTTATAGATGATTAATGGTCATAGCTTATTAAGTACAACATGATCGTTTATTTAGTGACTATAATTGTGTGAAACTGATTTGAGGCTTGGCATATAAATAAATATTGTGGCGAAATTGTCGAGATATATGGAGATATTTATTTATGGTGGGTCAACCTATATAGGGGTGACAGCATAGCAAATCGAAACGGTTTTTGGCACTTTTACGACAATTCAAGTTTGGTTTGAGAAAAGCTACAAATCTTGGCTTGGCATTGGGCGTCCACACACATAACTGTCCGTATTCTTTTATTTTGTTACCGTTTTTTACACTCTGGTAAAATCTCTACAAATTTTATAACTTTACCTTTTGGTATATTTTGTTTTAATAATTATTTGATTAGCAACTCGGATGGAATAATTTTCTTTTAAACACACATGCGGCACAAAAACAATTACATTCGTTTTAACGGCCTTAAATATCACCTATGATTATCTTTAATATGATATATATAAGAAAAACACTTGTAAATGAAGAGCCCCAGGGAAGAACAATTTATTTCTAAGTCACTTTTTCAACGAACACCAGTTAATGGCGCCGTCTGGTAGCAAATTGTATAAGCTTTCTGTGGAACAATCAATTTCAGGTAAAAACAATCAAAGTCACATCGAACCAAGGCCCTTCTGAAATGGCCTCACAGACAAATACGTCCATCGTACCCTTTATTTGACCTTAATTTGGCTGAAAAGTTGAAGTCAGTTGTTGTACTGGTAATTATGATTCGTATTAAACATCATTTTGAAGTTGTACATGTAATTAAACCCACTCGTTGTTCTGTTCGCGTCAAGCATTCTCGTGAAAAAGTCTATTTTGCCTTTATGCGAAAAGACAAAAATGTAACTTAGATCGTTCTTCCCCTGGACTCTTCAAATCTTATTGAAGCGGTTATTATCTGATCGAAAGAATGCTATCAAATTAACAATAAACACAGAGACTTCGGAGGTGAGTTTCATGATCCTTGTTAAATTATTTATAACATAAAGAAGATAGGATATTTTTAGTTATATATTACTTTATTTTTACGAGTATCCATGCAAACAGTGATATTTTCATTGTGAATAAAATTTGTTAGACTGGCGATCAATAGTTTCAATATAAATCTCTTATGTAATTGCCTTTAGTTACATGTATATTTTTTGTCGCACAAATTCAAATGATCATGATGATCGCGCTTTGTTTTCATTGCAAGTTGCAACACAAGATTGTCAAACTATCTGTCAAAATCAAACCACCCCCGCAACAGCTGCATTGGTTTAGCGCAACAAGTAACGAAAGCATTGTTGTCTTCCTCTCAGTCGAAATTACAAGTAAATAGTCAAATTTGTCCAGCAAGAACTTTTTTTTATTCGTTGAGATATTTAGTTGTGCATTGGTTTAGCGCAACAAGTAACGAAAGCATTGTTGTCTTCCTCTCAGTCGAAATTACAAGTAAATAGTCAAATTTGTCCAGCAAGAACTTTTTTTTATTCGTTGAGATATTTAGTTGTGCAATGGATTTTATCGAAGGGGAGTTGATTTCAAACACACAGGTAAGTTTATAATAACCAAAGTTAAGTAGCTTATTCACAATCGAAGAAATCTGTTTCAAATTTACAATGGTTCAGACTGTAGTCGTTGAGTACAAATGTACCTAGATCTTCTAGTTCTACTAACTTCTACTGTCTGAACCTTGCTATTAATAAACGGATTTCTTCGAATTCGATTATGAACAACTTTGGTTATTTTATTATAAACTTACCTGTGTGTTTGAAATCAACTCCGGTTAAATAAAATCCATTGCACAATTAAATATCCCATCGAATAAAAAAGTTATCTCTTGAAAAATTGAACTCAAACAAACTTTTGACGATTACATGTCATTTCGGTCCCGCGTCATTTCGGACTTACGTCATTTCGGACTCCAAAAAATATGTCCCCGACATTTCGGACTCGGGTAGGTGACATTTCGGACTCGGGTAGGTGACGTTTCGGACTCGGGTAGGTGACGTTTCGGACTCGGGTAGGTAAGATAGAATTATACAACACACTGACGCCAATTTACTTTATAAACTATTTTATTTATCAACATAGCATAAAATGATAACATCGATTTATAACAACGGGCATATTATTTTATTTTTAAACATACCATATAGCGATAACAACGGTCATATAAAACATTCATTTATTGTATAAATACATACACATTCATACATTAACGCAACATTTATAACAACACGTGTATTTATTTGATGAAAAAATAGCTATACACTGGTTCGTTGACCGATCCTACACTTGCCATGACACTCTCTGCGATTGATGGACAGGATCTTGTAAAAATATTTCCTATGGCTTCCTTCTTAGCCTGCAATGATATAATAAATATTATACATATTCTTTTTTTTTATTTCAGCAACAGTCAGTACCAGGGTCAGCTGGAGGAATGAATATCTGTTCTTTCAATCTTTTAATATATGTACATATCGTTACTTTAATATTTGTATTTTTATATACATACCGTTACTTTAATTTTAGCAGCAGTCAATATACCAGGTTCTGCTGGGTGAATATGCTCTTTCAAACCTTTCTTGAAGTCGGTACCATCCTGAATCACCGTTGCAGGACAAGTCAGGGAACCATTTCTCTTGCAGCACCTCCATACGGTCGTTTTCTTGTCCGTCTAAAAAAAACATCATTAGTTCTAATTAGATATCATATTCGTCTACACGTAACATTAGTTCTAATATATAAGTTCTAGTTAGATATCATATTTGTCTATAACATACATATATATAACACATACCTTTATCGTATAAGCAAAACCAATGTTGTCAAACAGCTTCTTTTTCCCACGTGTTGTTGCTGCCTCTTCTATAGTGTATGCTAATTCAGGTTCTTCTTCAGCAAATACGCTAATATCTTGCTCATCTTCAGACATTGAAGACTCGATAACCGGATCAGGTAGCTGGTATGGTCGTTCAATGGTGAATGATTCTTCGATGTCCATTTCTTCTTCTGTAGGGGGGAGCGGGGCAACACATCTACAGCATTTCCATTCAAAAGCAGTTCTATGTCGGTTTAAACTCCTGTACTCATCCCGAGTGATGCCTGAAATAGTGATAAATAAAATAATAATATTCCCGGATTGCGGGTACGTGTCAATAAATAACAATAACGACAAATTTATAACGTTTCAATAAATAACAATAACTTACAAGCTGAAACGACAAATTTATAACGTTTCAATAAATAACAATAACTTACAAGAAACGACAAATTTAAAACGTTTTAATAAATAACAATAACTTACAAGAAACGACAAATTTAAAACGTTTTAATAAATAACAATAACTTACAAGAAACGACAAATTTAAAACGTTTTAATAAATAACAATAAAGAAAATTTCATTACGTACCGGAATCGCAGGTTCGATGTTGCCATAAAAGACAAGAATCGCACTGGAGGCCTTCTTGTCGAGGACGGACAGGATTGGTACACTTTACGCAATTTCCACTAGCCATGATAGATTCGTGTAAAAATTGAGAATGATTTGAATTGAAATATGGCACATATATATAATACATTTGAGCTTGGGCTCAATCATTTCTTAACGGCTTCATTATTTCTCAATCATTTCTTAGCGGCTATTAGAAACGCCGATCAGTGTTTTTATTTCTCAATCATTTCTTAGCGGCTATTAGAAACGCCGATCAATTATCGCTATTAATCTTAAATACAACAATGGGATGGTTTCACTAATCGCTGGATTCACTAATCGCTAGATTAAAACAACAATCGCGGATCGATTATCGTCAACAATCTAAACTAATTCATCGTCAACAATCAAAATTTACTCATCAAAATACAATAATATCCGATCAAGTAAATAAACAAATACAAAAAAGGCAAGTAGCATAGGTTTTACTTCAAGTTCAAGTTCAAAGGCGTGTTGTCAAGTAATGGCCTGTATGGGATAAATAAAACAAGACTAACAATGTTTAAATCTTTATTAATGTGAATGGTCTGTCTTGAGCCTCACCTACAACGAAAGAAAAACAGCTATTACTAATATATACACACATAATTTTAAGTTTTATTTGAGTCCGAGTCCGAGTCCGAAATGTCGCCGGTCCGAGTCCTAAATGTCGTTTGACTGAGTCCGAAATGACACCGAGTAAGTCCGAAAAGTCGCCATACTGAGTCCGAAACGACGTTTGTGCTGAGTCCGAAATGACGCGGGACCGAAATGACGTGCTACCCTTTTGACATAGGGCAATACAAGAATGGAAGCCGGTTACGTCACTTAATACAAATTACAATTACTTACATCTTGTTTTATATCTTTATTTACAGTAAATATAACGGGACTTTGTGTTGACTCCGGCCCACATATCCTCCTAGAATCCACTGGCATCTTCACAATTTCAGAAAATATAAATGCATTAATCAAACGATACAGTTGTTTATTTGCAGTTTACAAATTTAACACGCTTGCATGGGCGCCGCCATCTTGAAATATTAGAGTTATCGTTCCTGTGTAGCGCTTTGACATCGATAGTGTTTTCTTGGCACAATGCCTGCTGGAATTGTAACTCGGACAAACAAACAATGCTGGGAAAATTTGGGCACACAATTGTACTTTGTAAAAGTTGTATGAAAAAATATTGTGTTCTTGAATGCGTCCAATTTAACAGCGAATTTAAATTCAGAGTGTCTATAGTTAGGCAATTTTATAGAAATCTTAAGACTCGAACCCTCTATTGTTTGGAGTACAGTAAGCCACGAATTACAGTTACATAAACAACTGTTTTTAGTTGTGTATATTACAAGTAAATAAAATTTAGTTCTCTTTTATTGATGATTTAGAAATTAAGAATTATTCATCGCAAAAGAGATATTATGATTATTATGTAACATACTTAACCTAACTACATTTTTGGGGCACCAACCACCACCGCCCCCCCCCCCCCCCGTTCAAAATTTCCCCGTACGCTTATGGTCAGGAGCCGAGCACCACAGGTGCGAGTTTTGTAGGCGCCACCCTATCCACAATCCCACACTACAATAAATTTCAACAAAATACTGGCTATAACATTAAGCGTCCCGGTAGAACATAGATGGTATTGTATAATTATATAGTTGTTTGCCGATCGTTGTCTCGCTGGAAAGCAGTTTTATTTAAGTTGACATAAAATTTTGAAAAATTGAGTCAATATCTTGGCATTTGAGGTCATTGCTGGGAGAAATTCTTGTGGACGAGAGGACCAGAAATGTGAGTCAATTAGACAAAATCTCGACATCTGCCCCTGTCAATTCCGCCTGTTTTGCAAGAGTTGACAGAACGTTTGTATATTCTGACGCCCCACGACCCACACACCAGTACCAGTGGTGCTACTAACATAACTAGGCAGTTCAGTATAACCGTGAATACGATAGTGCTGAGACAGTATAAGATAACAGAGGAGTGGAAGAATGATGTTATAATGGCATCGAGCGCCGCAGGCGCGAACAAATTTCAGATGTGTAACCGAGCTTTTAATTTTTGGGACTGGGCCTGACAATTTTAGTCAATGTCATGGCAAATGGATCCAAATTCTCGTTAACGAGAGGATAAGAAATGAGACAGAATCTTGAGGCCTATCTGTCAATGTCGCCTGTTTTGTGAGAGTAGAACTAACAATTCTACAGCCTTTTGACCCACGACTCACTCACTATATAGTGGTACTACTAACTGGGCGATTCACTGCAACTGTGAATATTATAGTGATGAGATAGTATAAGACAGAGAAGGAGTTGAAGAATGATGGCATAATGGAATTGAGCGCCGATATGTAACTGAGCTTTTAATTTTTGAGGACTGGGTCTGAGGGCACTTTATCTCAATGGGGCGCTTACTTGGTCTCTGAAATGCCCTGGACTTTGGGGAGAGATTTTGCAGAATTCTGATGGTCAGAAAACACCCCATTAATTCATTTAGTCTGAGACCGACTGCGGTGAGCACTTTTTTTTAGACCGACTATTTTTTTGCCATGGGGTGAAAAACATTTTTTTCAAACATGATAAGTCGACAAGGTTATTTGATACTAAAGTTTTGCGTGAGAAGAATGACGTGTGCAGTGAGCACTTATTTTAATACCGACTGCTCATATCTTACGACCGACTGCACTGATTTTGCGACCGACTAGTATTTAGGATCTATTCTGGCATTATTTGTTTACCTCATTAATTCATTAAGACGGCGATGCATAATTTTGAGACCGACTGCAGTGATTGCACTTATTTTGAGACCGACTAATTTTCTCCCTCGGGGAAATTTTGTTCTTAGACCTACATACTGACAACAGAATAAGAGTGAAACCCATCATTTTTTCAAACATGATAAGTTGACAAGGTTATTTTATACTAAAGTTTTGCGTGAGTAGCGTGACGTGTGCAGTGAGACTTATTTTGATACCGACTGCTCTTATTTTCCGACCGACTGTACTGATTTTGCGACCGACTATTTTTTTCCTTCTGGGGCCCCCCCCCCTTCACACACACACATTTACGCCCCTGACTCATTTGGGACTCGCGTCATTTGGGACTCACAAAAATATTACCACGACATTTGGGACTCGGGTATACGATGTTTGGGACGTTGGTATACGTCGATTGGGACTCGGGTATACGACGTTTGGGACTCGGGATAATTTATTAGAAAAAGGCCAATTCAAAACACGAAAGAAAATATTTATTAACATGAAACACGTGGTTAGTAAAAGGCTCAACCAAACGATAAAACATTAGTTGCACTTACGGTTCTTTGATAATCATCGTTTCTCGTACAAGTTATATATTTATTTAAAACGAATAATATGCTGATGAATTTATTTGAAAATGACCTACACAAAAAACAAAATAAATATGTACACGACATGCAATCTTTTTTACAAGCCCCAAGATAATCCGTGATGCACGTTGACATGCTTGTCGTAGATGGCAATACCAATCGATAAATTAGTGCGTACAAGACAAAGTTTTTTTGTGGAAAATATAAGAAATGGCAACAATCAAAGCGGGATAATTAAAGCTGATTAACTGATAATCCCGATGTTATTGCAGTATGTTCAAAGAAACCTAACGGTTTTTTGGTGGATGAGGAAAAACGTGAGTTGTCAATCATCGAGAATGGCGGCCGTGTGTTGGCAGTTAACCGTTTCACGAAAAAACATTAGCAGTGGTCGGTCAATCAAGCTCGTTTACTATATTGATAAAAGAAAAACAACGAAGTATTACTAAATATACACAAATTTTCAACAATATATTATTGTCAACTTTTATACTCGCAGATAAAACAAAACAAAGGAGAAGTTTTATACTCGCAGATAAAACAAAACAAAGGGAGGAAATCGGAGGACCCGGAGAAAACCCACGAGGTTGGACAGCCGACCCTACTCCTTGCCACGTACAACCGGGAATTCGAAACAACGCCAGTCGACTCAATGACAGACTTTCTGATACAGCGCGCGCACGCTAACCATTCAGCCCCCCCCCCCCCGAGTTACTATAGACTAAAAAATTTATCACGAATAAATAGCCTCGCAGAATATTCGGATGTAAAACGAATATGAAAATAACAAGATTTGATAGACCGGGATTAGACTTAGAGTTCATTTGCGACAAAGAAAGGAATATATGTCATTGGTTCCTGTTTTGTGCAAAGCCCTGTATAGGGAAAGTTACGACAACTCATTTACAGGCGCCATTTTGGGTCCCATAAAAACTACGAAATGAAATGAAATGGGGTTTAACGTCCTACTGTTCTGTTCCTATATTGGGCTAAAGAAGACGGGCATACACCATACAGTGTGTAATGAGGGAAATTTTGCCCGGGCAACGGCACTATCGCCTACTGTTATATCGAATTCCAACTGCCAAGGGATCTTTTACGTGCATTCCAATGTATACACGGGACCTCGGTTTTTCGTTTCATCCGAAGGACTAGACAGCTGTCCTTGTCGGGCCCTCCGTCGTCATGGCGTCATATATAGCTTTACTTAACAAAACGTTGTATTTTTTTCTTGGTAGGACTATAACGTTTTACGGGCTATAATTTATCCTAAAAAAAATGCAAAAGAAGCTAATGCAGTTTGGTTTAATGATAATATGTCACATTGGGTAATAAACTTACATTTCAAGTTTCAACAAAATCGGATGAAAATTGTGCCCTCTATAGGGTCCACAACCTTGATATACCATATTTTTATGCTATTTGAGAACGAGGGGCAGGGGCGTAAATGTGTGGGGGGGGGGTGGTACACCCCCCAGGAAAAAAAATAGTCGGTCGCAAAATCAGTGCAGTCGGTCGCAAAATAAGAGCAGTCGGTATCAAAATAAGTGCTCACTGCACCCCCCCCCCCCCCCAGAAGGAAAAAAATAGTCGGTCGCAAAATCAGTGCAGTCGGTCGCAAAATAAGAGCAGTCGGTATCAAAATAAGTGCTCACTGCACACGTCACGCTACTCACGCAAAACTTTAGTATAAAATAACCTTGTCAACTTATCATGTTTGAAAAAATGATGTTGTTTCACTCTTATTCTGTTGTGAGTATGTAGGTATAAGAACAAAATTTCCCCCAGGTAGACAAATAGTCGGTCTCAAAATAAGTGCAGTCACTGCAGTCGGTCTCAAAATTATGCATAGCCGTCTTAATGAATTAATGAGGTAAACAAATAATGCCAGAATAGATCCCAAATACTAGTCGGTCGCAAAATCAGTGCAGTCGGTCGTAAGATATGGGCAGTCGGTCGTAAGATATGGGCAGTCGGTATCAAAATAAGTGCTCACTGCACACGTCGGTCTCAAAAAAAGTGCTCACCGCAGTCGGTCTCAGACTATATGAATTAATGGGGTGTTTTCTGACCATCAGAATTCTGCAAAATCTCTCCCCAAAGTCCAGGGCATTTCAGAGACCAAGTAAGCGCCCCATTGAGATAAAGTGCCCTCAGACCCAGTCCTCAAAAATTAAAAGCTCAGTTACATATCGGCGCTCAATTCCATTATGCCATCATTCTTCAACTGCTTCTCTGTCTTATACTATCTCATCACTATCATATTCACAGTTACAGTGAATCACATAGTTAGTAGTACCACTAGTGAGTGAGTCGTGGTTCAAAAGACTGTAGAATTGTTAGTTCTACTCTCACAAAACAGGCGACATTGACAGATAGGCCTCAAGATTCTGTCCCATTTCTTTTCCTCTCGTTAACGAGAATTTAGATCCATATGCCATGACATTGAATAAAATTGTCAGGCCCAGTCCCAAAAATTAAAAGCTCGGTTACACATTTGAAATTTGTTCGCGACTGCGGCGCTCTATTCCATTATAGCATCATTCTTCCACTCCTCTGTTGTCTTATACTGTCTCAGCACTATCATATTCACGGTTATACTGATCTGCCTAGTTATGTTAGTAGTACCACTGGCACTGGTGTGTGTGTCGTGGGGCGTCAGGCTATACAAAAGTTCTGT